GTTGTTCCACATTAGTTACAAGGGGGAAGTACGCTGGAAAATTCTGAGAAACATTGTCGATTAAATTATATGCAAGGTACTCACTGTATTAACCGTTTGGGTAGCCATGAATGATATGCACCCAACTAACCCTAAAGTAAATTAGAAACACTAAATGTATTTTTTATATGTTTTTAATACATGTTCAGTGCATGGTGTTTCATTGAATTAAGTAATATAGATATAGTACATAGTATCTGGTGTTAAATTCTCCATTATGTAACATCGTGAATATATCTACTAGGAAGTAAGGGTTAGGATTACATTAGGGGCTAGGATCATAAATTATTAGGTGATGAAATTAGAGGGCTTGGATTACGTACACCCCATGATTTTGTTGATAAGTATAATTTATGATCTTAGTGTCATATAGATTATGTTAATGATACCTATATTTACTTATATTTTATAAGACATCCTGTTACAATTTCTACAGACTGGGAACTAATAGTTTAAAGAAACATTATGCGAGATTAGATAAAGAGCTGGCAGTTCTCACTATAGGAAATGTAACTCTTGCCTAATGTATGTTTAAGTTGTACCTGACAATATGTCAAGTTTTATTAAAGTTCTACCTGACAATATGTCTGACTGTATTAAAGTTCTACCTGACAAAATGTCTGTTTTAAAGCTCTGCCTAACAATATGTCTGTTTTAAAGTTCTACCTGACAATATGTCTGACTGTATTAAAACTCTGCCTAACAATATGTCTGTATTAAAGCTCTGCCTAACAATATGTCTGTTCTAAAGTTCTGTCTGACAATATGTCTGTTTTATAATTCTGTCTGACTGTATTAAAGTTCTGCCTGACAATATGTCTGACTGTATTAAAGTTCTATCTAACAATATGTCTGTATAAAAGTTCTACCTGACAATATGTCTCACAGTAATGACTGTATTAAAGTTCTACTAGGGCTGTACGATATCGCAAAAAGGGACGATATCGATATTGGCATTTTTTTCAAAGATATAGTTAAATATCGCGATAAATAATAATTATGTCACTTTGCTATTAAATAAATTAAATATAAATGCATTAAAGCTGACTACAGTGTGAGTAAGAATTGTGGGTAAGAATTGCTTTATTCAATCATACACTTTAAACGTTGCTTTTTTTTATAATATAGATTTATTAAAATGAACAAAACAACATCCTTTTTGGATAAAAATGTTTCAATGCTTTTTAACGCAACAACAGGAGACATTACTTACATGTATGCCTATACATATAATTAAATTAAATACAACCACTGATGTTTAAAAAGCGTCTGCTCGTGACCATGTGTCAGAATATCACGTGCAGTGGAAGTAAGTAGATGCGGTCTTCAAGTCTTGTATTGTAAATTCAAACAGTTTAACAAATACTTAATGATCCGGACTATCTTCCATTCAAGCATTCGATTGGCTGCGGTTGGCCTTACAGTGACAGTAATCTATTTATAGATCGTTTTATTCTTGCTTTCAGAAATTAAGTTTCGTAGAGTTTTCTAAAAATATTCGTTTTTTAAAAATATGACAACCTATTTATAGCCTGGTAATTAGCCATGGTAGGCGGAAATTTCAGGCGTTTAGTAGGCCTAAGCTTTGCATGTAGTAACAACTGACAATTTATTGTCAACTAAAAACAAAGTAAAAGTAATGCATACACGATGCAGTGAAAAACGGCTGCGGACACTGCGCAAGTGTTTTCAACATTTAACGATCCTCAAAACATTAGTTTTATTATAGTTTATTGCCGTTGGCTAATTTCCACTGCTGTATAGTGTATTTATTATCTATTTTTATGATAATTATTTTCGATATTTGAAGTTTTTGGCGATATTCGATAAACCACTATATCAACGATTTTTGGCCACAAGATATCGTAGTTGGGTCTGAAAATACCATATCGCGATAAATGACTATATCAAGAATATCGTACAGCCCTAAGTTCTACCTGACAATATGTCTGTCTGTATTAAAGTTCTACCTGACAATATGTAGGACTGTATTAAAGTTCTACCTGGCAATATGTCTGACTGTATTAAAGTTCTACCTGGCAATATGTCTGTCTGTATTAAAGTTCTACCTGACAATATGTCTGTCTGTATTAAAGTTCTACCTGACAATAGGTCTGTCTGTATTAAAGTTCTACCTGACAATATGTCTGTCTGTATTAAAGTTCTACCTGACAATATGTCTCGCAGTAATGACTGTATTAAAGTTCTACCTGACAATATGTCTGACTGTATTAAAGTTCTACCTGGCAATATGTCTGTCTGTATTAAAGTTCTACCTGGCAATATGTCTGTCTGTATTAAAGTTCTACCTGACAATATGTCTGTCTGTATTAAAGTTCTACTTGACAGTTTTAACTTTGTGCCCAACTTGTATAAAAAATATCAATAAAAACCTTAGAAATTAGACCAATCTGTATCTGACAGAATGAGAGACAACAGAGAGGAACTGCTTGAATTTGTGTTCGACAATGTTTGTGACAGATGCTTTATTTCTTGTCTTGATTTTCTCGTAATTATTCAACATACTTTATCAGTACAGAGGGAGGTTGTGTTGGGGTTGGATGGCCGAATGGTTAGCAAGTTCCCGTTATGTCATAAGGTCTAACATTGAGACAACTGGCGTGGCTTTGATTCCCTAGTTGTATGTGACAGGGAGTAGTTTCGCCTGTCCAACCTTGTGGGTTTTCTCTGGGTCCTCCGGTTTCCTCCCACTTCTTAAACCCCCTACGCGCAAGAGAATTATTGAAATAAAATTGAATCATATGTTAGTTCCGAAATGACCTAGTTTGTGTCAAGTGGACTTTAAACCCCAGTTTTACAGGTGTTTTTATGGTACAGACCAGTTTAATTACAATTTAGTTTTACGGAATTTGGCATTTTTTTCAAAGATATAGTTAAATATCGCGATAAATAATAATTATGTCACTTTGCTATTAAATAAATTAAATATAAATGCATTAAAGCTGACTACAGTGTGAGTAAGAATTGTGGGTAAGAATTGCTTTATTCAATCATACACTTTAAACGTTGCTTTTTTTTATAATATAGATTTATTAAAATGAACAAAACAACATCCTTTTTGGATAAAAACGTTTCAATGCTTTTTAACGCAACAACAGGAGACATTACTTACATGTATGCCTATACATATAATTAAATTAAATACAACCACTGATGTTTAAAAAGCGTCTGCTCGTGACCATGTGTCAGAATATCACGTGCAGTGGAAGTAAGTAGATGCGGTCTTCAAGTCTTGTATTGTAAATTCAAACAGTTTAACAAATACTTAATGATCCGGACTATCTTCCATTTAAGCATTCGATTGGCTGCGGTTGGCCTTACAGTGACAGTAATCTATTTATAGATCGTTTTATTCTTGCTTTCAGAAATTAAGTTTCGTAGAGTTTTCTAACAATATTTGTTTTTTAAAAATATAACAACCTATTTATAGCCTGGTAATTAGCCATGGTAGTGGGAAATTTCAGGTGTTTAGTAGGCCTAAGCTTTGCATGTAGTAACAACTGACAATTTATTGTCAACTAAAAACAAAGTAAAAGTAATGCATACACGATGCAGTGAAAAACGGCTGCGGACACTGCTCAAGTGTTTTCAACATTTAACGATTCTCAAAATATTAGTTTTATTATAGTTTATTGCCGTTGGCTAATTTCCACTGCTGTATAGTGTATTTATTATCTATTTTTATGATAATTATTTTCGATATTTGAAGTTTTGGGCGATATTCGATAAACCACTATATCAACGATTTTTGGCCACATGATATCGTAGTTGGGTCTGAAAATACCATATCGCGATAAATGACTATATCAAGAATATCGTACAGCCCTAAGTTCTACCTGACAATATGTCTGTCTGTATTAAAGTTCTACCTGACAAAATGTCTCGCAGTAATGACTGTATTAAAGTTCTACCTGACAATATGTCTGACTGTATTAAAGTTCTACCTGACAATATGTCTGACTGTATTAAAGTTCTACCTGACAATAGGTCTGTCTGTATTAAAGTTCTACCTGACAATATGTCTGTCTGTATTAAAGTTCTACCTGACAATATGTCTGTCTGTATTAAAGTTCTACCTGACAATATGTCTGTCTGTATTAAAGTTCTACCTGACAATAGGTCTGTCTGTATTAAAGTTCTACCTGACAATATGTCTGTCTGTATTAAAGTTCTGCTTGACAGTTTTAACTTTGTGCCCAACTTGTATAAAAAATATCAATAAAAACCTTAGAAATTAGACCAATCTGTATCTGACAGAATGAGAGACAACAGAGAGGAACTGCTTGAATTTGTGTTCGACAATGTTTGTGACAGATGCTTTATTTCTTGTCTTGATTTTCTCGTAATTATTCAACATACTTTATCAGTACAGAGGGAGGTTGTGTTGGGGTTGGATGGCCGAATGGTTAGCAAGTTCCCGTTATGTCATAAGGTCTAACATTGAGACAACTGGCGTGGCTTTGATTCCCTAGTTGTACGTGACAGGGAATAGTTTCGCCTGTCCAACCTTGTGGGTTCTCTCTGGGTCCTCCGGTTTCCTCCCACTGCTAAAACCCCCTATGCGCAAGAGAATTATTGAAATAAAATTGAACCATATGTTAGTTCCGAAATGACCTAGTTTGTGTCAAGTGGACTTTAAACCCCAGTTTTACCGGTGTTTTTATGGTACAGACCAGTTTAATTACAATTTAGTTTTACGGAATTTATTCCATCTTTTCTATACCTATTTGGATTATATATTCCCTGAAATCAGTCTCCCTGTATCATCCTGCCTCTTGTGATTGCGTGCATTGTAAGATTTGTGGGACGGGGAATTAGAGCAGTACCCTCAGTAGCTAAATTCTCCTTCTGCGCATAGTAATCAAAAATAACCGCAGGTTAATCTCAGAAATACCCAATTCTTTTTATTCCTTTCATTTCATCTTTTTTTCTATTTTCAGGTATTTTTGCGTATTTGAATTACCTGGTTCCTGCCACAAGAAAAGAAATTCTTGACATTTTAATAAATGGTCTGAAACGACAGGAATACAGAGGCTATGATTCTGCAGGTTTGTTTTTTGTCTTACTATTTAAAAAAGATGTCTAAATAATGGGTATTTTATTATGCTGCCCAAAAATATAAAAACTCTATTGTTATCCTTTTACAATTATTGATTTGAATTCATGGGGTGGGGGTGGGGGGGTGTCTAACTTGTACACTTTAGATAAAAAGGTCTGTCATTGAGTCAATGAGGGTGTTTTACAATCCCAGGCTACAGGAATAAAAACCTCACTGGTTTTCTACTGGGGCCTCTCAAGTAGAAATTGATCAGAAGAGAACAAACATCTCGAAGGAACGTATGAATATACAAATTCTTGTACACGTAGTTAGGAGTCTTAAGTAAAAATTGATCAGTAGTCATTCACTGAGACATCAAAGATTTTAAAGAGGTGCGTACGCCGTACAGGTATATAAAACTAAAGTCTCGTAATGTATTGGTATTTTATATTTTAGGGGTTGGGTTTGATGGTAGTAATGAAGGATGTAAAGATTGTCAGATAAAACTGATTAAAAGTCAAGGGAAAGTATGCGCTCTTGAAGAAGCTGTTAAACGTAAGTATTTTTAGTCAGTCTGATTAAAATCCACATCTATATATCATTTCGTTTTTTATACTTATAATGATTTAGGGGGGATCCCGTGGCTAAGTGGGTAAGACGCTAGCTCGCTAGCCTGGAGGTCGGGTGTTCGATCCCTGCATTGGCCGAGAAAGTTCATCCAGATTTTCCGCCGTGGTTCTCCCTTGTCAGAGATGCATGACGGAGGGACTGACAAGGAAAGATGTCTAGTCGTTCGGATGGGACAAAAAACCGAGGTCCCGTGTACACATTGGCGTGCATGTAAAAGATCCCTTGGCAGTTGGAATTCGATATAAGAGTAGGCCGTAGTGCCGCTGTCCGGGCAAAATTTCCCTCATAGCACACTGTATGGCGTATGCCCGTCTTCATTAGCCCAGATTAGGAGCAGAACAGTAGGACGTTAAACCCCATTTCATTTCATTTATAATGATTTAGGAAATGTTATTTCTGTAGTTCGAATAGATCCTGATAAACTACCACAGCACAAGTAAGTTTTTGATAGAACTTCTGAGAATCTTCTTGCACCTTGGAGCAGCAATCTGATCAAAATATAGATCTATATTTCGTTTCGTTTATTTATACTTTCAATGGCCTGTACTACATGAAGATTTGACTGGTTGTAGTGGGAGGTCATGTCAGGGATCATACGAGCCGCTTTTTACCCTATGACATCACATCAGATATTTGATTAAACAATCAGCGTTGATGTTTCTAATTGGTCACCCACAGTTCTGTGCATTTCTTGCCAAAATGTTGTAGACCATTTCATTGGCTGATCCCTCACATCATCCAGAATGCGGGTTGTATAACAACTCTTTCAGATCCTAGTGTAGTAAAGTCAAGTAAAACAAAATTTTGAACTATAGAAAGCAAAACGAAATAGGGTCTGTGTTTTAATCAGATTGGTTTTGAGTAAGTATAAAATTCAAATTGACTCATCCCATGTAAACCAGGGGAATGGGTGGTCAAGTGGTTTAATGTGTGTTCTTTATATTGTTAGATCTTTCATTGAATCTAGTTGTGTGGTTGATATCCTAAGAATAGTGACAAGGAGTAGGGTCCCCTGTCTAACCCTGTGGGTTTTCTTCCCATTGTTAAAGACCTCTACCTGCAAGAGAATCATTGAATTAAAATTGAACCATATGTTAGTCCCAAAATGACCTAGTTTGTGTGGAGTAGATATTAAACCCAATCTCTCTCTCTCTCTCTCTCTCATTTGTTTATATTATGTTTTATTAGAATATACAGACGTCTGCAAGAACAAATCGTATGATATCCATGTTGGTATCGCTCACACACGTTGGGCTACACACGGGGAACCCAGCGAAGTCAACAGTCATCCACAACGATCAGATACTGATAATGGTGAGTATTTTTTTCTCGTATCAGTTTGAAATTGATAATGAGTTTTCAGAAATGCTACTGTTTGCGGAAAATAAATGTCATCACATACTGCATGTCCGTTTTCGGTGCTAAAAAACTAGAACATTAAACCGATTTCCTTTCTTTTCAATTATCTTTGAAATATATTTTTTACTCAACTTTGTTCAAAATGTGTCAGATGGCTAAAGCAGTCAAGGTGTCACATTCTAAAGCTGTCAAAGTGCCAGATTCCACACAGCAGTCAAGGTGTCATATGTCCAATTTAGTCTTGTGTCCGATGCCAAAGCAGTCAAGGTGTCAGATGGCTAAAGCAGTCTCAATGTCCAATGCTAAAGCAGTCAAGGTATACTAAGATATGCCAGGTATCAGGTGCGGAGACAGTTAAGGTATCAGAAGCTAAGACAGCCAAGTTGTCAAATGCTAAAGCAGTCAAGTGTCATATCGCTAAAGTAATCAAGGTGTCAGATGCCTAAAGCAGACAATGTGTCAGATACCTAAGGCATTCAAGGTGTCAGATGGCTAAGGCATTCAAGGTGTCAGATGGCTAAGGCATTCAAGGCTCAAGTTGGATAAGGCAGTCAAAATGTGAAATGGCTACAGCAGTCAAGGTGTCAGATAGCCATATAACAGTCAAGGTGTATTTCATCATATGGTGAAGATTTCTGTCCAGAAATGAAACCATTTAATGTAGCGAATTATTTTTGTTTACCTGTTACACATGGCTGTTTTGTTCGACATTTCTTGACTCGTTGATTTGTTTACAGAAGCAAACACCGAGAACATTCAGTTAGCAATGGGATTTAAACAGATCTAAAATGGCTTTAAAAAGACCCTAATTTAATTAAACGTGTTTGTTTAAACTGTTAGTAATATTAATTTAAGGCCGAGTTATTTTAGAAAATAAATCGCACTTTCCGCTGACACGTCTCGTGTCCTAATGATTCAACAAAGGTTAAATGGATAATAAACCTAGTCTAAATTCGATACAGGAAGGAAATGAAATGAAATGAAATGGGGTTTAACGTCTTACTGTTCTGCTCCTAACCTGGGCTAATGAAGACGGGCATACACCATACAGTGTGCTATGAGGGAAATTTTGCCCGGGCAGCGGCAATATGGCCTACTCTTATAAAGAATTCCAACTGCCAAGGGATCTTTTACGTGCACGCCAATGTGTACACAGAACCTCGGTTTTTCGTCCCATCCGAACGACTAGACAGCTGTCCTTGTCAGGTTGATACAGGAAGGGTTTATCTCCTAATTATAGATCACGTTTAATTGAAGGTTCTTGAGATGTGTGCTGAACTTGATGGGGTTGTTCAACTGGCGTGGTTTCAAATCCCCAGTTGTACGTGACAAGGAGTAGAGTTGCCTGTCCAACCTTGTGGGTTTTCTCTGGGTCCTACGGTTTGCTCCCACTGCTAAAGACCCCTACGTGCAAATGAATTATTGAAATAAAATTGAACCCTATTTTAGTCCCGAAATGACCTAGTTTGTTTCGCGTGGACTTTAAACCCCATCTCTCTCTCTCTCTCTCTCTCTCTCTCTCTCTCTCTCTCAACTTAAATAAATGTATGTGTAAATAGTGTATGTGTGTTGTTGACCAATGACCACCTACTGACATAGATGTATAATTTTAGAACAGTATTTGTCCATGTTGTATTTATAGAAGTTATCACAGAGTTGTTAAGACTCGACCAATAATTTACATGATGTTTGTGGACTCAAAGATTTACTGGTCAACAAAAACACTATTTATCTGACAATAGTCAATATTGATTCAAATGGTCTTACTACCCACACCTAACGCCCGGATAGACATAATATCCAGTCTTATTCCATAATAATAGAAGGTCTGATAACACCCACACATAATACCAGGATAGACTCAATACCCAGTCTTGTTCCGTGTTCATAGAAGGTCTGATAACACCCACACATAACGCCAGGATAGACATAATATCCAGTCTTGTTCCATGGTAATAGAATGTCTGATAACACTCATACGTAACGCTCGGATAGACTCAATATCCAGTCTTGTTCCATGGTAATAGAATGTCTGATAACACTCATACGTAACGCTCGGATAGACTCAATATCCAGTCTTGTTCCATGGTGATAGAAGGTCTGATAACACTTGGATTGACTCAATACTCAGTCTTGTTTGGTGGTGATAGAAGGTCTGGTAACACGCACACATAACGCCAGGATAGACTCAATATCCAGTCTTGTTTGGTGGTGATAGAAGGTCTGGTAACACCCAAATACTGGGAAATCGGGGGCAATATACCTGGAAGTAATTTTTTATCATATGTTTGTATGAAAGAGGAATATATTGTTTATAATATTTTTGTCTTTTTATTTTTGTTTTCCCTTGTCAGTGGTGCAGGATAGGGGGCCTAACAAGGACAGCTGTCTAGTCATTTGAATGGGACAAAAAACTGAGATCCCATGTACACATTCCCTTGATAGTTGGAATTCAATATAAGAGTAGGCCATAGCGCCATTGTCTGGGCAAAGTTTCCCTCATAGCACACTGTATGGCGTATGCCCATCTTCATTAGCCCAGTTCAGAGCAGAATAGTAGGACGTTAAACCCCATTTCATTTTATTTATTTTTATTTTTCAGAATTTATTTTGGTTCACAATGGCATTATTACTAATTATAAAGACATCAAGTCCTTTCTGGTAAGTTCAACTTTTAACCAATTTATTTTATAGCATTATATTATCGTATTTTAAAATAAAATAGTTGACTGAGTGCATGGAAACAGGTACTTTTTACAAGCCACCGAGCGGGGTCGCATGGCCGAATGGCTAATGCATGCGCGTTGTATTATAAGGTCTGTCATTGAGTCAACTGGCATGGTTTCGATTCCCCGGTTGTACGTGACGTGATGAGGAGTAGGGTCGCCTGTCCAACCTTGTGACTTTTGATCAGGTCCTCCAGTTTCCTCCCACTGCTTAAGATCCCTACGCCAAGCAAATTATTGAAATAAAAGTGAACCATGTGTTAGTCCAGAAATGACCTAGTTTGTGTTGGGTGAAGTTAAACTCTCTCTCTCTCTCTCTCTCTCTCTTTCTCTCTCTCTCTCTCTCTGTTGGGTGTATTTTATCTTTTAGTATTATATTTTATTTTAGGAAAAGAAAGGTGCAGTGTTTGAATCTGAAACAGATACAGAAGTTATCGTTAAACTTATAAAACATCTTTATACAACCCATCACGAACAGAATCCCTCGTTCCGAGAAATTATTGAAATCGCTATTCAACAATTGGTAAGTACCCTAAACATTTTCCTTGTCTAACCCTCAGTCCAGCACCACTGACAGGTGGAAACAAGACTGGTAAATCCTGAGAGGGAACTATCTTATCTAACACGAGGATCGAACCAGAGAAATCCAGGTTAGCGAGCAATCTGGTTAAAACACAGACCCTATTTCGTTTCGTTTTTATAGTTCAAAATATGAGTTACCGGTAATACTTCCCTTCTCTCACTTGATTGGTCGATAAAAATAGGCGTGTTTTGCACGGAACTGTTTGGTTAATCAAATGTCTGTTGTCATAGGGCTAAAAGCCGCTTGTATAACCTCTAACGCGACCTATCGCTACAGCCGGTCAGATCTTCATGTAGTGTAGGCCATCGAAAGTATAAGAAACGAAACGAGACATAGATATGTATTTTAATCAGATTGGATTAACGGGCAACCGTTTGTTGGTAGTTCTAGATACATAACACTGTCTAACACACATTGAAATGGAAATCTCAATATCATCCAAAACCTTCGACATTGAAAACACAAATTATTTGTCAATTTAAATCAACATTGATGTTGTGATCTTACCAGGAAAAGATAGGTGGAGCAATGTTTTGTTTTGGCTACAGAGGGAATGGGTGGACCGATGTTTTGGCTACACAGGTTAAAGTAGCTAAGTCTCTAACTCAATATCATCCAAAGTCTTTGACATTGAAAGCACAAATTATTTGTCAATTTAAATCAACAATATGGTGTTGTGATCTTACCTGGAAAAGATGGGCTTCTGATATCCAATAAATAAATAAGGCAAAATAAACATTTTACCAATGTTGCAAGGGACTCGAAGAACGAGGCTAGACCTATTCCAAAAGTCATGTCAATTAATACTAGCGGTGTAGACTAATAACCAGACGTTAGAGAATGGCATTCGATTGAGACTTCTGGTATATAGTAAAAACAGAAACAATTGAATGTATATCAGTTTATACACATTCATATTACATTATTACATGCTTTGCGACCCATTTGTATCAATTTCTAGTTCCCAAATATTAGCGATTTAGCTCCTTTAATTCGAGGTGAAAGACTCTTACAGACCTTAATTCTAGTCGTCTGTAATTATCTAAGGCTGTGTTGGACTTTGAGGCCTGATCACTGGATCCTACAGACTGTTCATGCCGCGTGTGGTGATCAGATCCCATCGTAATGAAAACGTTAAATAAGTGAAATGTTTATAGGCTTTTGGATGGATGGCATCTTTACTACATGGTTCATTACAATCAGATCAGGGGGTTGGATGGCCGAATGGTTAGCATGTGTGCGCTGTATCATAAGGTGTGTCATTGAGTCACCTGGCGTGGTTTCGAATCCCCGGTTGTACGTGACATGGAGTAGGGTCGCCTGTCCAACCTCGTGGGTTTTCTCCAGGTTCTATGGTTTCCTCCCACTGCTAAAAACCCCTACGCGCAAGCGAATTATTGAAATAAAATTGAACCATATGTTAGTCCCAAACTGACCTAGTTTGTGTCGAGTGGATGTTAAACCCCATTTCTAAAAAAACAATCAGATCAATCAATGACTTGCAATGAATCACACTGACTCTCAATAGTCTTAATGGTATATTTTGATTAATGCCAGCAATATGGCTGCATCAAAATTAACTCGCAAAACATTCTTTGAAGCCACATGATTTATTTCATGAGGATTTATCAGGTTAGCGGCATTATTTATTGACGTATTGAAATATTTATTACATGATTAGTGTTACTGAATCATGAGGATTTATTACACAAGTGACTTTGATTTAAATTGACAAGTAATTCGTGTTTTCAATGTCGAAGATTTTGGATGATATTGAGTTAGAGACTTAGCTATTTTAAGAAAGACCTGCAATAGTCAGATTTAGCTCTTGCATAATGTATATTTAAACGATATGTATATTTATATCATATGTATAGCCATAATAATTATTTAATACAATTTTGGTGTTGTTGGGTCTGCAGTTCAATGTATCATTTCTAAATTAATTACCCTTGGAAGTGCAAATTTACGCTTTTTTGGAAATCTACTGCCAAATCATGGTTTCTACTGCATTTTTTACACTACCCTACTGCATTGCAGCTCTGAGGCAGAACGGAGGGCCTGACAAGGACAGCTGTCAAGTTGTTCGGATGGGATGAAAAACCGAGGTCCCGTGTACACATTGGTGTGCACGTAAAAGATCCGTAGACAGTTGGAATTCGATATAAGAGTAGGCCTTAGTGCCGCTGTCCGGGCAAAATTTCCCTCATAGCACACTGTATGGCGTATGCCCGTCTTCATTAGCCCAGTTCGGAGCAAAACAGTAGGACGTTAAACCCCATTTCACTTCATTTCATTTTGCAGCTCTGAGCGATTGACGGTTCTGAACCCTATGTACGTCATATGTAGATACTTGAAAGCTTGTGTTGACATTAAGTGGATAAATTATGTATGTGGATCAATCCGACTGTTAGACAATTGAAAGCTTGTATTGATCTATTGGTAGTTATTTGAAACTGTGTGTTGACATTATATACCGGTATGTTGTAGATATTTATTTCATATCATTGACATGCAGTAAACTATCTTTTTTATAATCTGTTATCTTATTACATACAGATTTATAACTCTCAGTTCAAAAATATATCAGACATTTTTATTAACTTGTTATTAACCCTCTATCACCTGATACCTGTACAGGTAAATACAGGTAAATATTGACTTCCATCTGGTCCTCAGAGAAAATTAAAGAAAAGTGATATATTTGATAGTTCATATCGTTACGTTCACAAATACTTAAACATATCGTTACTTAATACTTAAACATACATTATAAGAAATACTTAAATATGCTTTATTCAAGAGCTAATTCTGCCCGTTGCACGTCTTTCTTTAGGCCTGAAATGTTATATAAACTATAATTTACACATTAATTAACTTATCCAGGCCATCGGACACGTACGATATTAATTAAACATGCATTATAACAAATTGAATGACCAATTGCAAACAGCATGGCTTTTGTTAACACTGGCTTGACAGAAAATATCAAATTAAAGTTAAACATACATTATGCATGAGCTAAATCTGCCTATTGCAGGTCTTTTTTTAGACCTGAAATGTTATCTAAATTATTAATTAGACATTAACTTATCCAGACCATAATCAACTCTCGAGACCATCTTATTTTCACTGTCTGATTTTCACTGGATTTGAATCTGATCTGCTGCTCAAAGCTCATTGATGATTAAATCCAAAAATGGATAATCGAGACTTATGTTTTTTTATCGTACCGACTTAAGTAATGATGACTGAATACTCCCTTTACATTATCTAGTTTTTAAGAGTGTATCCGCGAGAAGACCATGCAAAATTGCAAAAAGTGCTAAGATGGGGGGTCGGAAGTTTTTGATCAAACTTATGGTATGACACCCCCTAGGGGCAAGAGGTAACATGCTGAAGTGGTTACAGTCTGATGTCGCTCTAAAGGACTGTACAGGAATTATTCATTTTATGGGTAAAATTGTGGTTTTCACATGTGTATTTATCACCTTTTTTAAGCACAGACTGCATTCTATGGTGGAATAGCAACCTTCTAATTTTGACCCTGTAATACAAAGCGGGTGGTCAACTTCTACCCCAGCACTAATTTGAAAAAAAAAATCAGTACATACTAATTTTGTGTGGACTTTTAGGGTACCATATTCACATTGTCCTTATAGTGCAGAAAAAGATACACTGTAACTTTTTCTTTCATGGTCGCAAGTAGAATTTCTTTGAATGGTTTTGAAGTGCTAAGCACATAGTATCCATAGGTGTAAAAAAAATGACCGGAATGTAACATACTTAAAATATACAGCTTATTGAAAAGTGCTAAAAAAAGCTTTTGTGATACATTTTTTTGCAAATTTAATTAGAGAAATAAATTTTTTGACTTTTATATGTTTTCATCATATCCATAGCCATTATTTGTACCATGTTGTACTCTGTATAAGTGTGTATTTGTATTTATTGTATATTTGGTATTGTCGTATTGTCCCTTTAACATATTTGTTGTATTGTCTTTTTAAGATTTCATTTTCAAACAAGTTACCGAAAATGGCTACAAAATGTTTAATTCAGAGCATGTTTCCACTATTCATTTTGGGACACACCCACTGATTTCTACAATACAGAAATGTGGAAGCTTAAATATTAACGGCAAAGAAGCCTAATTGCGTCGATATGGGTGACATTGAACAGTGTAGTATGGTAGCTACAGCTCTCGGGCATCGTCAGCTGCACCTTCAGGGCCCGATTTAGAATAAGAGAGGCCCTAGGCAAACCCCCTGAACAGGGCCCACGACATGGACCTTGGGGCCCTGGGACAAGCAACTCGGTGAGAGGGTGGGTCGGGGGAAGTCATGCGGTTGGTGGTTCGAATCTCACTTTTAGGTAAATTTTTCATTTTCGTTGGATTATTTTATTTAAAATAATGTCTATTTGAGAGTAATGGATATGTTTGTTAAGATTGAGCACGTTGAAGGTCGTGGACAACTGCAGAAGTCAATTCCCGTTGACGCCAGATGAGCCGTGAACGATTACAGGCCTTTGAAAGTATTTTTTTTCAAGATATTTTTATAAAACAGATACTAATGTATTTTAGGGCTGGTAGTAAACACCATATGAATGAAAAGGAAAATAAATTGTTAGGTTTTTTTTATCTACTACGGTTAATTATCTCCAAAATAGGGAAATTACAGGTTAATTTCATGGGTTATTGTTTCCGTTACCTAGTTTTTGTCAAGTCGATTCCGGTCATTTTTATTTTTTGTATCAAATTTTGGGAGGTTGCTTGTTCATGTGAGCATAAATTTTTTAAACCCACCCCATGAAAGAAGTAGCTATAGGGCGTCAAACTTTAGGTGACGAAAAATGGGGAATTTAGACAGGCTTTGATATCCAGTCCGTATACAGATCTCGTTCGCCAGAATCGTCTGAAGTTAATATTGTGGTAACAGCACTGAGTCATCGATAAACTGTGTGAGTTTGGTCTTTCTGCTACGTATAGAAAAGACAGATTTTGGCAATTTCACCATATGAAAAATGTTTTTTCAATTCTCTCATACAGGAATTGAAAGATTTATCTAATATTGCACATTTATGTGTTTTGGGACTATCCCAACTTATAAACCAAATTTGGTCAAAATCTGTGATTGAAGCCTTAGCACCTTCTGCATGGTTTTCTCGCGGACACGCTCTTAACTATTTTAGTGAGAAATTCCAGCTCTTTATCTAATCTCCCATAATGTATCTTTAAGAAACATTGTCTCAGAAGTATTTATCGGGTGGTTAAAGTATGGCAAATTTAGTATCGTATATATGGAAAGTATAGACACCCAATCTTGCTAAAATAAATACAGGATTACCCGAAAAACACCCATGGCACAAGCACTGGGCAAAAATATCAGAGTATCACTTACAGTGTAATAAAATAAAACCAAGTACGAACAATCCAAACCATAAGACAGAATTTGAAGTCCTAAAAAATGTTATAGGCAAAATAGTGTATTCAAGCAAAATAGTGTAATCAGCAAATGGACTGCTCCTCGTGTACAAATTACACGACAAACAGTGGTAACAGGTGTCCGGAAGAGTAAGCTTACCCTGCCTGGCGCCACACCCGCCATAGCTGCATCCAAACTATTAGGCGAAATGTCGGTAAAATAGCGTGATTGGCCAATGAACTATCGGTATGCAAAATGCACGCGATGAAATGAGCTTTTAGCCAGTGAATAGACAGCATTCATACATTATTTTTGTGAACAAGTATCCAGGACTGCTCTAAACCCCATTCCAAGTATTAAATACAGGAGGACAGCAAACTAAACGGACAAGACAAACCTGCGAACAGGACAGGACACAGACATCGTAAACAATAAACAACAAACAGACAAGTCAGGCCCGTAGCCCCCCTCCCCCAAAGTTGCTGACCATAGCTCTAAAATACCTACTGTAGACTGTATCCCGCCCCCCTCCCCCAACCTGTCAAATGAAGTGAACGAAAGGAGGGCAATGACCGACCAATAATAGATAACTTAACTCCCACTCATCGTCAAAATGGCAAAACCTGACGACCGCAAATGTCATATTTTTTACAATGTTTAAGAATGTTTAAAATGTGACTATTTCATGTTGTGTTATAAATAATCTTTACTAACAACATGTAACAATTTCTTCCATGGTTGTGTACGAGACGTTTCTTATATTGAGCTGATGTAGTATTTTAGGAATGTCATGTAATTTCTTCTGTTCAGAGAGGGCTATACTATATACCGGAAAACACCAGAAAACTACCGGAAAACTACCGGAAAACACCATGTTATACTGAATACCAGAAAATACACTAAATACCAGAAAACACACTAAATACCGGAAAACACACTAAATAGGTAACCCGGAGACGGGCTATACTATAAACCAGAAACTAACCCTAACCCTAACCCAGGCACACAGAGGACCAGGCTTTGAGTATAAAATGGTGTTTCCAGGTAGTTTTCCGGTTGTTTTTCGGTGTTTTCCGGTCCAGAGATATGAGAGTTTTATCTTGAAATTTCTGTCATTCAAGATTTAAAAGGTCGTTAAACATGGAGGCCATTACATTCAGATAAAGGAAAAACTTCATTTAATGATTGCTTGATTCCCTGGTTGTACGTGACAAGGAGTAGGGTCGCCTGTCAAACCTTGTTGGTTTTCTCCGGGTCCTCCGGTTTCCTCCCACTGCTAAACACCCCTACGCGCAAGTGAATTATTGAAATAAAATTGAACCATGTGTTAGTCCCGAAATGACCTAGTTTGTGTTGAGTGGATGTTAAACCCCATTTCTCTCTCTCTCTCTTTACTGATTGCATGTTAAAATTATACTTAAATAATTATATGATTACAATAGAAGCAAAATCAGATCTTGGATCAGTACCCATCAGCCTGATTGAAAAAAATAATTGATATGTATTTTTTTCAAAATAAATAAACTTCATCTTCGAATCTACTGAAATATATAATGGCATAAATCTGAGGATTGGGGTGGGTGAAAGGTGAATCAAGCTAGTTTTGTTTTCCCATCATATCACATTTTGATGGGGGTCCAAGTAAACTAGTTGGTCCGAGGATACAGAGCTACTCAGTCCACCCCAAACAACAAATGATTTCATATGGGTACTTAACGGTAACCTTATAGGTGTGGACAAAAGTCGACATGGTTCAGTTAAGAGTTAAGCTCTTAACCCCACAGGTCCCTAATGAATCCTTTGCACTCTTCTTCCCGTACCCTAATTAAGCTCTTAATCCCACCTGTCCCTAATTAATCCCTTGCACTCTTCCTTCCGTACCCTAATTAAGCTCTTAACCCCACCTGTACCCTAATTAAACCCTTGCACTCTTCCTCCTGTACCCTAATTAAGCTCTTAACCCCACCTGTCCCTCATTAATCCCTTGCACTCTTCCTCCTGTACTCTCTTAACCCCACCTGTACCCTAATTAATCCCTTGCACTCTTCCTGTTGTACCCTAATTAAGCTCTTAATCCCACCTGTCCCTCATTAATCCTTTGCACTCTTCCTCCTGTACCCTAATTAAGCTCTTAATCCCACCTGTCCCTAATTTATCCCTTGCACTCTTCCTGTTGTACCCTAATTAAACTGTGATTATGTGTTTATTATGTTTACAGGAAGGAGCGTTTGCCCTGTCAGTTACAAGTAAACATTATCCTGGTGAAATCGTCGTCACAAGGTTTGTTTTTATTTTATATTGGTGTACAATAGTCTCACTAGCCAGGAGATCCGGGTTACGATCCCAATACTTGTAGAGAAAGTTCCCAGGGGTTTTCCAATGTGATTTCCCCTTGTCAGTGGTGCAAAACTGAGGTTCCATTTACACGTTGGCATGCTCATAAAAGAACCCTTGACAACTGGCATTCAATAAGCGTAGACCATAGCGTTGCTGTCCGGACAAAATGTCCTTCATAGCACACGTATGCCCATCTTCATTAGCTTGGACGCGCTGTATCATAAGGCCTGTCATTGAGTCAACTGGGGTGGTTTCGATTTCCTGGTTGTATGTGACAAGGAGTAGGGTCGCCTGTCCAACCTCGTGGTTTTCTCCAGGTCCTCCAGTTTCCTCTCACTGCTAAAGACCCCTACGCGCAAGCAAATTATTGAAATAAAATTAAACCATATGTTAGTCCCGAAATGACCTAGTTTGTGTGAGTGGACATTAAACCCCATCTCTCTCTCTCTCTCTCTCTCCCTCTCTCCCTCTATTGTGTCTTGTAATGTGTCTAAAGGTAGATAAACATTCCTTCCTCTAAAACCTGATCAGTTGCCATAAATGTGACATTGCACGAATTTGATTTGGCTACAAATATGACCTGAAGGTCGTGACCCTAATGGCCTATCATGTCGACCTAGACACGAATGCACTGGATGAGTGTAAAATTAAAATGGATCATCCTAGACATCCGAAAATCTTTAAACTCTTTGTCTGTCACCTGTGTCAACAGGAGATGTTCGACGTCAGTTTAAGAGTTAAAGTTACAGAGAATTTGTTGAATCTTGTTTGTCGTTTGGCAGGCTCTTTGCCTTTTCGTTTATATCATTGCAAAAAAAGTTATTTTAAAAAGCCACATGTCAAACTCCAAGAAAACTGTATGTCTGTACATAATGGTAGGCGACATGACAGTCTCTCTGGTTTCGTTACAAAAAGTTTAATAAGTTTCTTTATTTGGATGTAAAAATATTGTGATTTTTAAAATGTTATATTTCTTATAGTAAAGGACAAAATGCAATAATTTAGAGAATCTCTATTTAGTGATATTCATGTTTGTTTATTTATTTTTTAAAACGATTTTATTAACGTATTGCATTTTTGTAGACGCGGTTCTCCATTATTGATTGGGGTAAAAAGTCAAACGAAATTAAGTACAGATCACATCCCTATTGTATATAGTAAAGGTGAGTTTCTTTTTTTTTATTTTTATCCGATCGATACTTCATTTCTTGCAATAGATAGGATATTTTCTTCATGATAGGTTTTTAATGAACTGCAGCAGATCTTATGAGAGATTTTAGGCCATGTGACCAAGAACTGTTTAAATTATTACTCGAAACATGGATTTAGCTTTTATTTGTTTCTTTACTGTAGTGATTATTTCCACACTCTACCATTAAACCCAGGATGTTACCTTTACTCCCTCTATCAAGTTCTGGCTGTTACTTGCACCTCCTCTGTCTACTATTTTCAAGTTCTTGCTGTTACGCCCACTCCCCCTTTCTACTGTCTTTCAAGTTCTGGCTGTTACCCCCACTTCCTCTGTCTACTATCTTTCAAGTTCTAGCTGTTACCTCCACTCCCTCTTTCAAGTTCAAGCTGTTATCTTCACTCCCTCTGTTTACCATCTTTCAAGTTCTGCTTATTACTTTCACTCCCTCTGTCTGCTATATTTAAAGTTCCGGCTATTACCTTTACTCCCTCCGTCCCTTACCTTTCAAGTTCTGGCTGTTCCCTACACTCCTTCAGTCTGCTATCTTTCAAATTTTATTTTTGTGAACATTTAGTTCATGAAAATACAATATTAATTTATCGCGACTCCTTGTTAGGACAGGACTATATTGTTAGATAAAATCTCAATATGTTAAAATACTGTTTTATCTGTCATGTATTTGTTTGTTTAGTTTTTATTTAATATTCAGGTATCGATTATAAATCACATTATCTTCCAAAGTTTATAGTCCAGAAACTTAATATGAATTTTATTTCGTCAACTGAAATAAGTTCTAAATACGATGTCTCTCTGACTTCCACAAGAGTTAAGCCCCTTAAAGCAAAATCTCGCGTGAAACTGCGAGAAAATTTCCTCATTTCTTTGGCTTCCAAGCTAGAAAGACGTGTATTAAGAAATATTAGATTTATTACATAAATCATGACGAGTAGAAACCCGGTGTTCTGCAGTAGTAAATCACAGCAAGCATGATCTATGTTCATTAAAATAAGTGGTTCCCACATCCAGCTTTGATTATCAAATATGGACAACGAGATCCATAATACTATTTTACTTGTATAGCGAACCCCAGTGGGGTTGAATGGTCAATGGGTCTGAAACTTTCGAACATAATGTCTGATATTGATTCAAATTATGTGATTTTGATTTAGTGCAGTATCTTAAGGTCTGTCATTGAGTCAACTGGTGTGGCTTCGATTCCATGGTTGTACGTGACAAGGAGTAGGGTCGTGTGTCCAACTTCGTGGGTTTTCTCTGGGTCCTCCGGTTTCCTCCCACTGCTAAAGACACCTACACTCAAGCGAATTATTGAAATAAAATTGAACCATATGTTAGCCCCAAAATGACCTAGTTAGTATTGAGTAGCCCTTAAACCCCTCCCTCTCTCTCTCTCTCTCTCTCTCTCTCTCTCTCTCTCTCTCCAATTATGTGATTTCGATTTTGGGAATAATTACTATTATAGGTCTCTTTATAGTGTTTATCTACACATTGTCCGTAAAGAAAGTAATTTTAGGAACAAGTATGTATTATAAGTCTTCTGGTACACATCCCATGTTAAATGTTTTATTTTATTACATGAGTTACGGACCTGTTAGATGTTAACAGGTTTATGGAGCATGGTGTCCTGGTTAATTTAAATATTGACTTAGTCTCATGTCAGTATTTATTTTACGTTAGTGTACCACAGACCTGCGTCATTCAGACACATTTGAGGCTACACGAAACATGTCAGGTTAAATAAAGTTACATTTTGTCCCCAAAAAAAAAATCATATTCATTTATTTAAAATAAGTTAAATATGCCTGCCCATGTACAAACTGTGAGATTTGATAAATGTGGACTAAAAAAATATTCATAGTATTTTATCTATCAAAAATTTGCTTAAAGTAGCTAAGACAATCTTATATTGCGCAGTCTTATTTTAAAGTAGCTAAGTCTCTAACTCAATATCATCCAAAGTCTTCCACATTGAAAACACAAATTATTTGTCAATTTAAATCAACATTGATATTGTGATCTTACCCGCAAAATATGGGCTTCTCATATCAAATATATAAATAAGACACAATAAACATTTTACCATTGGTACACAAATCGTGTACCATAATGTGTTTAGCGCGATATGTAACAAGGGACTCGAAGGTCAAATGGTGATGCCGTATTCTTATCTGGAGAGCATGCGCAATAAATATTGGAATAACCAGACACTAGAGATTGACATTCGATTGAGACTTCTGGTGTATTTTGCTGAACATAACTGATTTGAAATTAGAGTAAAAACATTATCATTAATTTGAAACAAGTTAAAAAAAAAAAAATTTGTAGAATTTTTTTAAAGGTTGCGTTCTGTTTTGAAATTGGTACAAAAATAAGATTTTCATGAAAATTTGAAATGATAGCTTTTCTTTTAAAACTGTTGTTAACGAGAAATCTGAAATGTTATTCATGTGGCAAATCTTGAAGCAAGGGAGCATCATGGCTCTGGTATCAGGGGTCTGGTTTCATCCATATTTGACTGACTGACAGTAAAAGTGACCAGTCAATTTATAACCTCCCTCTCTCTCTCTCTCCCCCCCCCCCCCCCCCCCCCGGGTTGTACTTGACAAGGAGTAGGGTCGCCTATCCAACCTCATGAGTTTTCTTCAGGTCCTCCAGTTTCCTCCCACTGCAAAAGACCTCTACGCGAAAGTGAATTATTGAAATAAAATTGAACCATATGTTAGTCCCGAAATGACCTAGTTTGGGTCGAATAGATGTTAAGGAAGGAGTTGGGGCGCCTGTCCAACCTCATGGGTTTTCTCCGGGTCTCTGGTTTCCTCCCACTGCTAAAGACCTCTCTCTCTCCCTCTTTATGTATGTAAATAGAAGAGAGTTTATCTTATTTTACCTACTCACACACATATTATTACAGAGTGGACATTGAACCCCATTTCTCTCAACTGACTGAACATTCCATAGATTTGTTTATATAGCATGTTATATGTAAATAGATTTATATACCATAATGTTATATTACCTATATGTACACATTACAATGTTATTATAGACTGAATGACATACGCGATTATCATGTTATTACATGAATAAATATATCAAGATTAGTTGTATATAAATATTAGACATGGATTACATGGTTAATATATTATACCAATAACACTTAAACTATATTTAGATAGAATAAACCAAACCAATAAAAAATAAACTATATTTAAATAGAATAAAAGAAATCGTGATAGGTGTATCCAACTTCAGAAGAAAATTTTCACTTTACAATATTGCCAGTCAATCAGTTTTTGCCATGTTTGTTTTTACAAAGAATAAGATTTTTTTTTTAAAGATATTTTAAAGCAATTTTATATATAAAAGGTAAAAATGTAACTCAGTTTCAATTTTATATTGTAATTTTCTAGCATGTAGATAGACTGATAGGTTAATTCTTCAACAGGTCCATTTTACTCCCAATCAGTTAACAACTGGTCAATATAGTTGAAATGAGAGCTCTGCTTCAGAATATTGGTTTCGATTCCCGGTTGTACGTAACAAGGAGTAAGACCACCTGTACAACCTCGTGGATTTTCTCTGGGTTCTCGATTTCCTTCCACAGCTGAAGACCACTACGCGCAAGCATATTATTGAAATAAAATTGAACCATATATTAGTCTCAAAATTACCTAGTTTGTGTCGCGTGGACGTTAAACCCCATTTCTGTCTTTCTAACCAGTAGGTCCCGGGTTCAAGCCCAATCTTTGCAGAGAATATTCCAAGTTATTTTCTGGCCTGGTTTTACCCTTGTCACTGGTACAGAAATGTGTAGTGTCTCCTTGTCAGTGGTGCTGGATGGAGTAGTGTCCCCTGGTCCAGCCTGGAGTCCCTGTGTCAGTGGTGCAGGTTGGAGTGGTGTCCCCTTGTCAGTGGTCCAGCCTTGAGTCCCCTTGTTAGTGGTGCAGGTTGGAGAGCCTAGCAATCAACAGCGTCTAGTTGTTCAGATGGGAAAAAGAACAAGATCCCATATGTATGTTGGCATACACTGTAAAGGACCTCAGATGAAGAATGGGTAGAAATGCGACTATCCAGAGAACATTTTCCTCGCAGCACACTACATGTCCATTTTTTATATTAGCCTGGTTGGTTTAGAAAAGTAGGACATTAAACTTTGTTTCATTTCATCCTACCCATGGTATTTATTTAAACCTTTAATTCTAAATAAAACAGTTTGTGTTGGTGACAAAATAGTTTCCAAGAAAAACATTCATTGGTCAATATTGACTGCCAATCAATAGGTCATGTGACTTTATTTACACATGGGTCGTTGACCGTAACTATCTTCTAGCAATATAAAGTATCAAGATTCCCATGATTCTGTCCATCTTTAACTCAGGGATTCTTGTCCATCAGTGTATAAAATAAACATGCAGTGACCTCAGGTCATCCATGTGACATATGCACTGTCCGATCTGAATTATGCAGTGTCAGATTATGCTGTGTCCAATCTGATATAATACAGTGTCCAATCTGAATTATACAGTGTCCAATCTGAATTATGCAGTGTCCAATCTAAATTATGCAGTGATCAATCTGAATTATACAGTGTGCGATCTGAATTATGCTGTGATCAATCTTAATTTAGCCATATTCAATATGAATTATGCAGTGCCTGATCTGAATTACGTAGTGATCAATCTGAATTATGCAGTGATCAATCTGAATTATGCAGTGATCAATGAAATACAGAAATGTACTGACCATTCTATATATATTATACATTACCAAGCACAGTATACATATAAAACGTGCAAATAATAATATTATTACAATATACAATACAAGGGAGGATCTAGTGGGGAGTGCACTTTATCCATGGTCCGATTCATCTTTGACAATATAAGGGCGAATCTAGGGGAGGAGGGTATTGGTGGGGGGGGGGACTTTATCCATGGCCCAATTCACCTTTGACAATACAAGGGCGGATCTAATGGGGGGGGGGTGCACTTTTTCCATGGTCCGATTAACCTTTGACAATACAAGGGCGGATCTAATGGGGGGGGGGTTGCACTTTTTCCATGGTCCGATTAACCTTTGACAATACAAGGGCGGATCTAATGGGGGGGGGGGTTGCACTTTTTCCATGGTCCGATTAACCCTCGACAATACAAGGGTGGATCTAGTGGGGGGTGCACATTATCCATGCTCTCTGGATCCGCCCTTGACAATATACAGGTTATATATTGATTAAACAGTAGACATTGTAAAGTTGACAGAAATGAAATGAAATGAAATGGGGTTCAACATCCTACTGTTCTGCTCCTAACCTGGGCTAATGAAGACGGGCATACGCCATACAGTGTGCTATGAGGGAAATTTTGCCCGGACAGCGGCACTACGGCCTACTCTTATATCGAATTCCAACTGCCAAGGGATCTTTTACGTGCACGCCAATGTGTACACGGGACCTCGGTTTTTCGTCCCATCCGAACGACTAGACAGCTTTCTTTGTCAGCCCCTCCGTCCTGCATCACTGACAAGGGAGAACCACGCCGGAAAATCTGGATGAACTTTCTCGGCCAATGCAGGGATCGAACACCCGACCTCCAGGCTAGCGAGCTAGCGTCTTACCCACTTAGCCACGTGATCCCCGTAAAGTTGACAGACATGTTGAATAGAAATTGTTTATATTCTGGCTAAATGAGGACCTAATAAACTGTTTGATTATTTTCTGTATCTTTTATGGACTAATTATTAGTTTTTGACCTCTCCGCATTTCTAATAGCATGATATGTATTTCACTTGTCTTGTTATCTTACAATTTATCTTAGAGTTATTTTTATCTCAACTTTATTTATTCTATGTTTCTGTCTGTTTTTGTCTTTTCTCTCAAAATGCAATTTTATATTTTATATTAAGAAAAAATGTTTAAAATGTATCGGTGACTCAGTCAAATTTGTATAGTGAGTGTGGTTACATAGAGGAGAGATTGACTCGCTTCCTAGATTAGAGGAGAAATAAGACTCGCTTCCAAAACCCGAGGAGAGATTCACCCACTTCCTAGACTAGAGGAGAGATAGACTCGCTTCCGAAACTCTGGTGTCCAACTTCACGAGAGATAGATCCACTTCCGAGACCCCACTAGGGGAGAGATATGTTTAAAATGTTTAAAATGTATCGGTGACTCAATCAAATTTGCATAGTGAGTTAGTTTACATAGAAGAGAGATTGACCTGCTTCCTAGATAAGAGGGGAGATAGACCTGTTTCCAACAATAGGAGGGAAAGATCCACTTCCGACACCCCACTATGGGAGTGATTGACTCGCTTCCTAGACTAGAGATAGACCAGTTTCCGAGACCTGTGTGTCCAACTACAGGAGCGATAGATCCATTTCTGAGACCCCACTAGAGGAGAGATATGTCCATTTCCAAGATCCCTCCTCTGTATCATAGGCGATTGGGATTGCGTTGCGGAGATAGATCCACTTCTGATGCCCTATATGGGGTCCAACTAGAGGTTGGGTCCACCTCCAAGATCCCTCCTCTGTATCATAGGTGATTGGGGTTATGTCGAGGAGAGGTAGATCCACTTCCGATACCCTACCTGGGGTCCAACTAAAGGTTGGGCCCACTTCCGAGATCCCTCCTCTGTATCATAGGGGATTGGGGTTATGTCGAGGAGAGGTAGATCAACTTCTGAGGTCCCACATGGTGTCCAAATGGTGTCCAAATCATTTTATTCTGGTGCCCAGTTCTATTAACATTTGTAAATCATGTCCAAGGAGTAGGGTTGCCTGTCCAACCTCGTGGGTTTTCTCCGGATCCTCCGGTTTCCTCCCACTGCTAAAGACCTCTACGCGCAAGCGAATTATTGAAATAAAATTGAACCATCTGTTAGTCCCGAAATGACCTAGTTTGTGTCGAGTGGATGTTAAACTCTCTCTCTCTCTCTCTCCCTCTCTCTCTCTCTCTTTCTCTCTTTCTCTCTCTCTCTTTCTCTCTTGTCCTAACATTTAGATTATAAGGTCTGTCATTAGGTCAAGTTACGTGGTTTTGATCCAAGCTGGGGGGTTGGATGGCTGAATGGTTAGCGTGCGCGCGCTGTATCATAAAGACTGTCATTGAGTCGACTGGCGTGGTTTCGAATCCCCGGTTGTACGTGACAAGGAGTAGGGTCGCCTGTCCAACCTCGTGGGTTTTCTCCGGGTCCTCCGGTTTCCTCCCACTGCTAAAGACCCCTATGCGCAAGCAAATTATTGAAATAAAATTAAAACCATATGTTAGTCCCGAAATGACCTAGTTTGTGTCGAGTGGATGTTAAACCCCATTTCTCTCTCTCTCTCTCTCTTGATCCAAGCTTTTATGGGTTTACTCTCTCTGTCTCAAGTTACATGCTTTTGATCCTAGCTTGTATGGGTTATCTCCCGATCCTCCGATTTACTCACACTGCTAAAGACTCCTCTCTCTCTGTCTCGAACCAAAATTCTACCAATTACTATCCTTTTAACCGGTCCTGATATAAAATTGCATTATGGGTATTTTATGTTAATTAGATAAAAACTAACCAATAGAAATTGTCTATATGTTTTTTGTGTCAATAGATAGTAAAGACTGCAAATTGCACGAAGGTATAGTTCTCATTCTTCACAACAATCTAATATTCGTATAATCGCATAAATTATTCTGCATGGCTATATATAGATCAATCTGATTAAAACACAGATCTTATTTCATTTGGTGGGGGTGGATGGCCGAATGGTTAGCATGTGCGCGCTGTATCATAAGGTCTGTTATTGAATCAACTGACGTGGTTTCGATACCCCGGTTGTACACGACAAGGAGTAGGTTTACCTGTCCAACCCGTGGGTTTTCTCCGGGTCCTCCGGTTTCCTCCCACTTCTAAAGATCCAGTGAATCAGGCGAATCATTGAAATAAAACTGAACCATGTATTAGTCACAAAATGACCTAGATTGTGTCGAGTGGACGTTACACCCCATTTCTGTCTCCTATTTCATTCCGTTTTTTACAGTTCAAAATATCGTTTTACTTGTCTTTACTACGCTAGGATCTGGACAAGTTGTTATATTACCGGCGTTCTGATTGAAGTTAGCGATTAGCCAATGAAAGGATCTGTTACAGCGAGGTCTTGGCGTGGGTAAATCACTAGAAACATCAACGCTGATTGATTAATCAATTTCTGATGTCATGGGGTCAAAATCTGCTTGTACGACCCCTGACGCAACCTTCCAGTACAGCCGGTCTGATCTTCATGAAGTGTAGGCCATCGAAAGTAACGAAACGAAAAATAGATCTGTATTTTAATCAAATTGTATATAGATATAACCAACATGCTTTCTGCTTTAACTTTAAACAGGCTGTCCACCTACACCGCCATATTATCTGATAACCATGGCAACCATCTGGAAACGTTGACAGGGAGATTGAGTGTTCAAATGGCCTAACTTAGATTATAAGATCTAAACCTAGTTCTAATTTAAGCAGGTTTTTATGGGTTATCCTCAAAAGGCTGATCATTCATGACATCATTACTTTTCCTCTCATCAAAATTTTCTCATCTTATTATCGTGTAACTTTATATTATCATCTCTACTGTCATGTTTGATATGCCTCTTGGAAAAATAAATAAGATCTACTCCTTGTTGAAACTCTGCCAGTTGACTGACTCAATGACAGACCTTATGATACAGCGACTAGACAGCTGTCCTTGTCAGACTCTCCGTCTTGCACCACTGACAAAGGGAAACCACGTCGTAAAAATCCCGATGAACTTTCCTGACCAACTTACACAAAGGGATACAAAATCTCTCTAATAACAAACAGCAGGGCTATACTATATACCGGAAAACACCGAAAAACACCAGAAAACAACAGGAAAACACCGAAAAACACCGGAAAACTACCGGAAAACACCAAGTTATACCAAATACCGGAAAACACCGGAAAAACACTAAATACCGGAAAACACACTAAATACCGGAAACCACCCTATAGGTAACCCGGAGAAAGGCTATACTATAAACCGGAAACTAACCCTAACCCTAATCCAGGCACACAGAGGACCAGGCTTCCGGTTACCTATTTAGGGTGCCAGTCTCCAGGTTACCTATTTAGGGTATTTTCCGGTATTTAGTGTGTTTTCCGGTATTTAGTGTTTTACCAGTGTTTTCCGGTATTCAGTATAAAATGGTCTTTTCCGGTTGTTTTCCAGTGTTTTCTGGTGTTTTCCGGTTGTTATCCAGTGTTTTCCGGTTGTTATCCGGTGTTTTCTGGTATATAATATTGCCGCAATCAGCAGCTTTTATAACAACAAGAGAGCTGAATGTATACACATGACGGCTGTCAATTAACACATGCTTTAAATTAATCAAATTATATTATCAGTATTTAAAATAATTAACAAATTACTAACGTTGTGTTTGTGTACCGAATGGCTTCATCCAATCTGGAATTAAGGCACATGTCAGAAACATTGTCAGACACAAATTCACGATTTTTCAATCTCTATATCTTTTGTCTGGCAGAGATCTGGTTTTTTTTTTTATCCAGTGCCCAGTTTCACAGAGCATTCTCAGACTTAAGCTAAGAATTTACTCAAAATTGTTTGCCTTAATTTAACTAAAATATAGCCCACGCCAGTCAATAACGCGTCCCCCCCTTAGAATCGGAAGGAGGGATGAATAGGTGTCTGTCCCCCCCCCCCCATGATTTTGATCGCAAGAACAGATTTTCAGGTTTATATCCACATGAATGTCCCGTTCTGAAGGCTATCTAACCGCTGCCTTGGGTCCCGCCACAGTTACTGATCTTCACGATATCTTCCTCCTTAATTATAGGTAGTCAATTTTACCATATCGTCATCATATTACCCCTAGTTACAGCTTTCATCGAAATAACACTGGTACAGTAAACTGTTCGTAATTATTTATTTCGTTTGGTAATGAAATGTTCCTGGTTCCAGGTTTCGTCAGTCCCCCCACCTCCCTAAAAGTTATGACAAATCCACGCCCTTGCTTGTTGATATAAACAGAATGCAGAAAGCTTATAACATGTTGATATAAACTGCATGCAGTGTCAGGGATGATGTTGTGCATGTTTGCTACTAACATCTTTTACTAATAAACTCTCAATTTAACTTGATTAATTGAACATAGGTCACAGTTCTATGGTATACAATTGCTGTTTATTACTGCCATTTTTACTAGGTTTCTCTAGTATTTATTGTTTAAAGTTACAATTTCATATTTTCTAAGAAAGTCAAAACATAATTATTTCTATGTCTTTTGCTCAATAGGTTGTCAACTCACTATTATACGATCATAGGTTATCTTTCTCACACTTAAAAATCTTCACACCAGAAATAATAACACAATTACCTCCCAATTACCTCCCTTGTTTTCTATTCTCCACCATGGAGTAGTTATCTTCAAATATTTGAATTTGAAGATGAAAATGATATTTTTGCCAATTTCTCAACTGCAATAGTGAATTATAGGATTAATAGGATTATTCTTTAACAAGGTAGGACTGTTTATAGATACGATCTATTTTAAGGCTTTATTTTATTAAATTTTAAAAATATAACTTAAAAATATGAAATTGCAACTTTAATACTGAGAGATATTTCAACTCGGTTTCTATAGTATTTATCAATTACTGTTTATTAATGACGGATGTTCAATAACTAGTAGGGGGGTTGGATGGCCGAATGGTTAGCCTGTGTGCGCGCTGTCATTGAGTCGACTGGCGTGGTTTCGAATCCCCGGTCGCTTGTCAAACCTCATGGGTTTTCTCCGGTTTCCTCCCACTGCTAAAGACCCCTACGGGCAAGCGATTTATTGAAGTAAAATTGAACCATGCGTTAGTCCTGAAATGACCTAGTTTGTGTCGAGTGGACGTTAAACCCCATTTCTCTCTCTCTCTCTCTCTCTCTCTCAATAACTAGTAAAAGATGGGGAACAATTCTATTGTGGGGGAGAGGGGATGGCCAACTGGCATGGTTTCAATTCCCCCGTTGTATGTATATTATGGCATGTCTAATATTATAGGACTGGCGGGGTTTCGATTCCCCGGTTGTACGTGACAAGGAGTAGGGTTGCCTGTGCCACCTCGTGGGTTTTCTCTTGGTTCCCCTGTTTCCTCCCACTGCTAAAGACCCTGCGCAAGCTAATTAATTAAATAAAATTGAACCATGTGTTAGTCTCGAAATGACCTAGTTTGTGTTGAGTGGACGTTACAGACAGTGTTTATAATTGATAATGACTAGAGAATCCTAATGGAAACATCGCTCAGTAACAAACAGTTATTTTATATCTATAGAATTGTGACCCGTATATAGGTTTCTCTTGTCTTTATCAAGCAATGATATGTAAGAACATATATCTGGTTTGAAAAGGATATCTGATCATAAACTGATTGTAAGAAATCCTCAAGTGTTTAGATTAGCTTGATGAAGTCTAAAGGATATATCACAGATACAAATCTGGTTAAAACACAGATCCTATTTCGTTTCATTTTATATAGTTCAAAATTTTGTTTTACTTGTCTTTACTACACTAGGATCTGGAAGAGTTGTTATGTTACAGGCGTTCTGGTTGATGTGAGGAATTAGCCAATGAAATGGTCTATTACAGCGAGCTTTAGACATGTTTTGCACGGAACTGTGGGTAATTCACAAGTAACATCAATGCTGATTGGTTAATTAATGTCTGATGTCATATGGTCAAAAGCCACTCGCATGACCCCAGACGCGACCTCCCATTACAACTTGTCAGATCTTCGTGTAGTGTAGGCCATCGAAAGTATAAAAAACGAAACAAAATATAGATCTGTACTTTAATCAGATTGAGTAAAAGCGTGAAGGAAAATTCAAGCAGTAATATACAGTCATTGTATTGGATAGAATTTTTTCTTGTATATCCAGTTAAATTACTAATTGCCATGGAAACAAATTGGATTGGTTATGAACCTACATGTATGTAATGAATATTTATTTTGATAATTTTTTTTTTTTTTTTATATATGTATAGTATAGTTTATTTGCAAATACATACATATATAATGAAAAATGAAATAAAATGGGGTTTAATGTCCTACTGTTATGCTCCTAAACTGGGCTAATGAAGACGGGCATACGCCATACAGTGTGCTATGAGGGAAATTTTGCCCGGGCAGCGGCACTATCGCCTACTCTTAAATCGAATTCCAACTGTCAGGGGATCTTTTTCGTGCATTCCAATATATACATGGGACCTCTCTTTTTTGTAACATCCGAATGACTAGACAGCTGTCCTTGTCAGGCCCTCCATTATGCACCTCTGATAAGGGGAAACCACGTCGGAAAATCTGGATGAACTTTCTCGGCCAATGCAGGGATCGAACACCCTACCTCCAGGCTAGCGAGCCAGCGTCTTAACCATCTAGACACCGTGGCTCCCTCACTTACATATAAGTGTATGCGTATAATACAAACGGGATGAGAACAAATTGTACAATTTACGAATCTTCTCCCATTTTTGTTTTAAGTCCATCTGATTTGTTAAAGGACAATATTGGTGTCAGTCATTATCACATATCTGATAGAACTAATTAAACACGTTCCCAATATAATTTTAATACAGAGATCATTGCTATAGAGGGATAACTCGTGTTTTCCTTTGGCGTTCGTCACTTCCGATTCAGGAAACCTGTATTACTCAGCTATCGTAGCAATGATCTCTGTGATAAAATTATATTTGGAGGAACGTGTTTAACCAGCTCTATCACATATGTGATAATGACTGGCACCAATATTGTCCTTTAATGACATTGAACAATCATTTTGTGTTTGTTTAATATTTCGGGGTAGTGTTTGTTCTCCAGGGCAGAGAGCAGAAATGTGTTAATATGTTACCTATATTGGGTATATAGAAGACCAACGCCCGTCACCCAATAAATCTCTTAGTTTAATAATTTCATCTATCAGATTTGCAATGAAAGAGTATGACAGTTTATATCAGTCACAAATATTTCACAATGGTTTTACGTTCAGAACGTAGACCAGTATGTGAAATGAACTATGACAGTGACGTTAGATTCTTAGTACCACAACTAGATTCAGGATCATCTTTGGAAACTGTATTCGGTTTAAACAAGTCTAGGTTCTAAAGGGTGGATTATATAATTATAATGAATTCGTTTATGACAGTCCAGGAAGACTAGCACAATCGGTTTATGGCAGTAAGTCCAGGAAGACTAGCACAATCAGTTTATGGCAGTAAGTCCAGTAAGACTGCAACTAACACAATGGGTTTATGGCAGTAAATCCAGGAAGTCTGCAACTAACACAATGGGTTTATGACAGTAAGACCAGGAAGACTGCAACTAACACGATGGGTTTATGACAGTAAGTCCAGGAAAAATGCAACTAACACAATTATAAACACGCAGGTTTCTTTATTTTTTCTGTATTTTGCAGATCATCGAGGTTTTATCAGTTCCGGCAAGAGAAAAGAAGAAGAAACAGAATTTCATCCAATCGGACCAAATAAAGTTGTTGAGTATTTCTTTGCTTCCGATGCCAGGTAAATCCATCATTTTAATCACATCTTCATGTTGTTGGGGACGACCTCTTTGAAAAATTCCTAAGGCTTGTTCCTTGGACAATTGGCAACAATCGACATACTTTGATTTGTTCTCGGTTCCAGGTCCCTAGAGCTATTCTATCTAGTACCCATGGGGGGATTTGATGGTCGAATGGTTAGCATGTGTGCGTTGTATCATAAGGTCTGTCATTGAGTCAATTGGCATGGTTTCGATTCTCCGGTTGTATGTGACAAGGAGTAAGGTTGCCCGACCAACCTCTTGGGTTTTCTCCGGGTCCTCTGGTTTCCTCCCACTGCTAAAGACCCTACGCACAGGCGAATTATTGAAATAAAAATTAAACCATATGTTAGTCACGAAATGACCTTGTTTGTGTCGAGTGGACGTTAAACCCCATTTTTCTCTTTCTCTCTTCCAGTACCCATGTATGTCTTGATGAGCATGGGAAGAAGGGGTTGGGTGGTAGTGGATCAATCGTCTAAAAGTTGTCTACCATGTGTATTCAAGTGATGGGGTCAGATAGCTTTTATGAGCATAAATGAATTTACTTATTGTTTTGTTATTTCTTTTCCTATAGTGCCGTTATTGAACACACAAACCAAGTAATATTTTTAGAAGACGATGATGTCGCTGCAGTTAAAAATGGAATACTTACTATTCATCGAGTATCACGAAGTATTGATGATTCCACCGTCCGTGAGGTCATCACCTTAAAAATGGAAATCCAGCAAATAATGAAAGGTAACTTACTTTCATGATGTCTTTATGGGAAACTTCAGCACTCTGTAATGCTTGACACTATTTTTTAATCTGTTTGGGAAAATGAAATGAAATGGGGTTTAAACTCCTACTGTTCTGCTCCTAAACTGGGCTAATGAAGATGGGCATACGCCATGCAGTGTGCTATGAGGGAAATTTTGCCCGGACAGCGGCGCTTTGGCCTACTCTTATATAGACTTCCAACTGCCAAGGGATCTTTTACGTGCACTCTAATGTGTACACAGGACCTCGGTTTTTCGTCCCATCCAAACGACTAGACAGCTGTCCTTTTGTTTGGGAAAATCACATGGCTAACGATATCTGTGACTAATTTATTCTTATTCTATCTTGATATACTCACATATATCACTACAGCATAGTAGTAACAAGTGTGTTACTAGAGGCAGGGTATGCTTACTTCATCTAGAACATCTGATACCACATATACTATATACATGGAGTAGTAACAAGTGCTGTACTAGAGACAAAGGATGCTCACTCTGTTTAAAACATCTGATTCCACTACTACTATATACTGGGAGTAGTAATAAGTGTTGTACTATAGGGTGTGTATGCTTACTCTATCTAGAACACATGATGCCACTTCTACTATACAGGGAGTAGTGACAAGGTGTCATACTGGAGGCAGGATATACTTACTCTTTCTAGAAGATATGATACCACTTCTCATTCCTAACCCATTTAAGTTGTAATGTATACATATAGACATGGACCGAAGTAGTAACAAGTGTTGTACTGGAGGTAGGGTATGCTTACTCTATCTCGAACAACTGATTCCACTTCTCATTTATTACCTCAGATATATCATGCCTATCATATCCCTTTTTTTTGTCTTCCAGGAAGTTTTAGTTCCTTCATGCAGAAAGAAATTTTTGAACAACCTGAATCCGTGGTGAACACGATGAGAGGTCGTGTTAATTTCAACACAAATAAAGTTGTGTTGGGTGGAATAAAAGATTTTATGTGTGAGCTTAGACGATGTCGACGATTGTTGTTCATAGCTTGTGGAACCAGTTATCATAGTGCCATAGCAGTAAGTAAAAATTGGGCGGTTGGATGGCCGAATGGTTAGCACACGCTTGCTGTATCATACGGTCTGTCATTGAGTTGTACGTGACAAGGAGTAGGGTCGCCTGTTCAACCTCGTGGGTTTTCTCCGGGTCCACCGGTTTCCTCCCACTGCTAAAGACCCTATGCGCAAGCGAATTATTGAACTAAAATTGAACCATGTGTTAGTCCTGAAATGACTTAGTTTGTGTCGAGTGGACGTTAAACCCCATTTCTCTCTTTCTCTCTCTAGTAAGTACAATTTAACATTGAAGTAACTTACCAACCTATCTCCGGCATAATGTAATTAAACATAGCAATTTTTGTTGGGGATAGTGTGTGTATAGTCGTTTGGATAGGAAGAAAAATGGAGGTCTACCCATGTTACATGTTGGTGGGCAAACATAGAAACCTTGGAAGTCCAAATGAGAGGAAGCTGTTGCTTAGTTGTTTGGGTGGTATGAAAAAAGAACCAAAGTAAAAGATCTATTGACGGTTTGAATTTGATCCAGAGTAAGCGATAATGCTGCTGTCGGGACAAAACTCTAAAACCTCTAAAACATTTTAAAGCCCTGTTCCTACTTGTGAGTGATGTCTGGTCAAGATTCACATCTCCTGCCCTCGCCATCCCCCCTCCCCCAAGCCTTACGGAACTGGGGATACCGCTTATCGGTTAGCATGTCCTACTAACATAGATATTCTGATAAGTGAGAGAGAGAGAGAGAGAGAGAGAGTGAGAGAGAAATAGGGTTTAACGTCTACTTGACACAAACTAGGTCATTTCGGGACAAACATATAGTTTAATTTTTTATTTCAATAACTCGCTTGCGAGTAGGGGTCTTTATCAGTGGGAGGGAACCGGAGTATCCATAGAAAACCCACGAGGTTGGACAAGCGACCCTACTCCTTGTCACGTACAACCAGCGATTCGAAACCACGCCAGTTGACTCAATGACTGAACCATGTAAGGTGGATGTAAAACCCCATCTGTTTTTCATTCAGACTCGTCAGTTATTAGAAGAATTAACCGAGTTACCTGTAATGGTGGAACTAGCCAGTGATTTCCTTGATAGAAATACACCAGTCTTTAGAGATGACGTCTGTTTCTTCATCAGTCAGTCAGGTAGAGTTATTCCCCTTTATAACTATTTTCACCTTAAAGGAGCTGTAATTTAATGAATAATATTTGTTAATTTAGGGTAGAAAACTTAATTAGGGATAATCTGAATTCCAAAAATAGTGTTAGTCGAGTGAGAAGGAGCATGTGTCAACTGCATAAGAAAATATCTCAACCAATTATGACAACAGAAATGTATCTGATGTGTTGGATTACGTCACACTACTTCAGTTGTTGGGACTGACATAACTGTGACAGGATCGAACTCAACATCACGTACTTGCAAATCTGTTAATTCGGGACATTCAAGACTGACAATCAAGTCTGTGGCGATCATATACGTTTCAAATCCACTGTACCAGCGATTCCACGAGACTGCCTGGTGTAAAATTCAGAGTAGAAAACCCTAGTTCTTTCTTTCTAAGACTTCATTTTGTCGCATTAACACTAATATGGCGGCTCGCTTGTAGACGTCGATAACGGCGCGCTCAACCTGTAAGTACAATCTGCCATACAAAGGGAAATAACTTGCTCTTGTTTATCTCTGAAGGGAATTCGCTTTGTTTTGATGTATATGTTGTAAAAATCAAGGTGCATTATGAGATTTTAAATTTGTATAAAAGAATAAATAAACGTTAATATAGCCATATTGGTATTATTTTATTGTAAAAACCAAGGTGCATTATGGTATTTAAATTTATATATATATATATTGTCAAGGTGCATCATGGGAATTATATTTGTATTATAGGTGAGACGGCTGATACGTTGATGGCGCTGCGTTATTGTAAAGCACGAGGAGCTTTGATCGTGGGGATTACAAACGTTGTTGGTAGTTCTATAAGTCGTGATTCACATTGTGGTGTCCATGTCAACGCAGGACCAGAAATAGGTGTCGCTAGTACAAAGGTAAGTAATGAAACATGGGGGTGGAGAGAAGAGAGAGAGAGAGAGAGAAATAGGTGTCGGCCAGTAGAAAGAATAAATAAAGTAACCATGTTAATTTATAAAAACTAACCAACGTCCAGTCTTTTTTAAATAAGTATTTGCTTGTATAAGGACCAACCACGTCCAGTCTTTTTTAAATAAGTATTTGCATGGAGTTAAAATATGTCATCTACAATATCATAAGGTCTGTTGTCATTGGGACAACTGGCGTGGTTTCGATTTCCCGGTTGTATGTGACAATTAGTAGGGTCGTCTGTTCAACCTCCTGGGTTTTTCTCCGTGTCCCCTGGTTTCCTTCTTCTACTTAAGACCTCTATACGTAAGCGAATTATTAAAATAAAATAGTCAAAAATGACCTACTTTGTGTCGAATGGACGTTAAACCCTCCCTCTCTCCCTTTATAAAACTTTTATTGTTTTAATGTATCAAATACATCAATAAGAAACTATGTGCAAAGTTTTGTGTTTCTGGATCAAAGATATTTCTCATAAACAGTGAATAAAGTTGAGTAAATTTTTAACTTAAGTCTGAGAATGCTTTATGAACTTGGGCCCTGACCTTAGATTGGTAGAATTTCTAAATTGATAATGTAGGTCCTATTCAAGAAATATTATGATAAAAAGACTGGTTATTGACATCAAGTTATTCTGACAGATGCTACTGTATAATATATATGAAGAAGAAAGAAGGTGTAGTATTTGATGTATTGATGTATATTTCAGGCCTATACAAGTCAGTTTATATCATTAGTACTATTTGGTCTCATCATGTGTGAAGACAAAATTTCTATGCAAGAAAGAAGAAATGAAATCATCCAAGGATTGAAAAAATTACCAGGTAAAAATTTCTTCTTAAAGTAGCTAAATCTCTAACTCAATATCATCCAAAGTCTTTGACATTGAAAACATGAATCATTGGTCAATTAAATCAACATTGATGTTGTGATCTTACCGGAAAAAGATGGGCTTCTGATATCCAATATTTAAAACAAAATAAATATTTTACCGTTGGTACATGAGGTACTGTGTACACATTGTCGTGCACATAAAAGATCCCTTGGCAGTTGCAATTTGATATATAAGAATTGTTCGTAGCGTCGTTGTCCGGGTCGCTGGCGTATGCTCGTCTTCATTAGCCCAGTCGAAGCAAAACAATAGGAGATTAAACCCCAAATAATTTCATCAAATTCCAATATCCCATGTTAAAAACCTACCCTTATTTCAATTTTCAACTGTTATAATTTATCCTAAAGTCAAGTGAGAGAAATATTTTTAAAGTATGATTTTAGAACAAACCCCAATTAATTTCATCAAATTCCAATATCTCATGCGAACAACCTACACTTATTTTGATTTTCAACTGGTAAGAGAAATATTTTTATCACCCAATAATACATTCTACAGTAGATATCGCTTGTGTGATAAATTTCATAATCTACTGCTATAAGGCTTTACATGAATTTGATTGGTCAATCAAAAAGGAACTACTTTTTTTTATTTTCAAAGAACAGTTTATTTTTTATTAAAAATAACTTCTTTTTTATTAAAAATGAATTATTTTTATTTAATTGGCCTTGATGGAAACACTGGGTGTCAATATAAAGGACTTTGCAATGGTTGAATTGCTGTCGTAATGTAATCAGGTTCAGTATCAGTGAAATCTACAGCAGAGAATTATATTTATTTATTTGTGCATGTAAGAAGGGATTGGGTGATAAATAAAATCTACTACTCGTTATCAAATTGTGTTGATATTTTTTGATATCAAAAAAGACTCGTAGGAGATTCTCTATTAAACGTATAATTTTAGAACAAATCAAGGAAGTGTTAAAGATGGATGAACAGATCAATAAACTAGCATCTGAGTTATATCAACAGAAGAGTCTACTAGTCATGGGACGAGGATATAATTACGCTACATGTTTAGAGGGCGCTCTTGTAAGTTAGATTATTTTAATTACTCAGTTAGATCTATTTCATAAGGTCAGCTATAAGTTTGGTCAATGGTCAAGAGATGTAAACAGGGCTAGTGCTAATCACAACCCTAACCCTAACCCTAGCTCAGTGGTCGAGCATTGGGCCGGCAACTGCAAGGCGAATGGGTGCGGTCATGGGTTTGATTCCCGTAAGGGTTAGGAAACGTTAGACTCACGGCCCGTGCATTCTGTGGGGGGGTTCTGTAAAGAACCTTCACCTCCCGATAACCCTAATGTACAATCTCGCAACAATCACGTGCCCGAACCTTTTTTTTGCGTCTCAGTGACCTTGATGAAATATTGAGTTGAACTTAAATAGATCTAGCCATAATTACGCTACATGTTTAGAGGGCACTCTTATATGTTGTCTTAGTTTATTTCTGTTTTAGCTTGTTTTGTTTCATGTTAATGCTATGATTACAACCTAGTATATTTGAATACTTCAGAAAATAAAATGTGTTATTTTTATATCTAGGGGAGTTGAATGGGTTAATGCTGTTATTAAAATGTGTTATCTTTGAATATTTCAGAAAATAAAAGAATTAACGTACATGCATTCTGAAGGTATATTGGCTGGTGAATTAAAACATGGTCCGTTAGCCCTGGTAGATAAAGCTATGCCTGTCATTATGATTGTCACTAGAGATTTAGTCTACAAGGTAAACATTCATAATAACACAACTTTATAGATTTACTACTTCTTGGTTTATTACACTCAACGTTTCAATACTCTTACAGGTATCTTTATCAAGCAATGATCAATCTATCTATCTATACTAATATTTGTGACTGTCGTCTGTCTGTCTGTCTGTCTGTTCGGGGTTAGCGGCTACACTAGGTCTGCCCCGAGTCTGAAATTTGGGGTATAGGGGTAGCTCGGACCGGGGAGTATCATAGGCCAGGTGGCGTTAGTCTACCACTTCCGGTTTCGGGGTTATGACCCCTGAGCGAAGCCGGGAATTCTTCTAGTAATAAATAACAACCTTACATTTATAGTACATCCATGAGTAAAACAATTTAACAATTAGGTCGAGTGTTCGATCCCTGCATTGGCCGAAAAAGTTTATCAGGATTTTTCTATGTGGTTTTCCCTTGTTAGTGGTGCAGGACAGCTGTCTAGTCGTTCGGTTGAGATGAAAAACCAAGGTCCTGTGTACACATTGGCATGCACGTAAAACATCCCTTGACAGTTGGAATTCGATAGAAGAGTAGGACACAGTGCTGCTGCCCCAGGCAAAAATTAGCCCATTTTGTGCTGAAGCATAAAAAGTTAAGCCTCATTCAATTTCATTTCTAGAAAGACTAAGCACACCCACTTAGTGCATGATACCCATCATTACTAAAATCTTACTAGCTTCATGTATGAATATATTGATCAGGTAATTATTTGTAATATTTTGTAGAAATGTGTGAATGCATTACAACAGGTGAAAGCTAGACAGGTAGGAATAGAAATTGATTATTTTTAAATCGCCACATGTGGTTGTGTATTGTTGTCTGTTCCTTCCATCTGTCCGTCTGTCTGTCTGTCAACTTGGGGATAGTTCGGCAACATGCTGTGATTATTTGGTTGAATGCTTTAACCTTTAGCACCTAAACTGTCCGAAACTACTGCCTCCAAGAGTTAATTAAGGTGTTCTGGCACGCAGGTAATTTAACTTGGAGCATTAGTTTAACCCGATCCTCTGTCGGAACCAACCTGGGTCATATAAATAACTTCAGGCGTGGTTTCCCCTTGTCAGTGGTGCAGGAGGGCCGAACAGGGACAGCTGTCTAGTTGTTCGGATGGGACGGAAAACCGAGGTTATGTGTATACATTGGCGTGCACATGAAAGATCCCTTGGCAGTTGGAATTTGATATAAGAGTAGGTCATAGTGCCACTGCCCGGGCGAAATTTCCCTCATAGCACACTGTATGGCAATGCACATCTTCATTATCCCAGTCAGAGCAGAAAAGTAGGACGTTAAACCCCATTTCATTTTGATATGAATAACTAGTTCTGTGATTTGGGTGGTTAGAAGTGCTGTGAGAAGCATGCTGTAGTTTTGGACATAAGGTCTATTAAGTGGTGTTGTTTCAATCCCAAGCCAGTATGTGACAAGGAATAGGGCTGCCTGCACAACCTTGTGGGTTTTCTCCAGGTCCTCTGTATTCCTCCCAGAGCTGAAGACCCCTACGCACAAACAAATTTATTGAAATAAAATTGTACCATAGTCCAGAAATGACCGAGTTTGTGTCAAGTGGACGGAGGTTTAACCTTATCCCTCTCTTCCCTAACCAGGGGGGTGGGGGGGGTGGATGGCAGAATGGTTAGCAAGTGCGCGCTGTATCATAAAGCCTGTCATTGAGTCAACTGGCGTGGTTTCGAATCCCCGGTTGTACGTGACAAGGAGTAGGGTCGCCTGTCCAACCTCGTGGGATTTCTCCGGGTCCTCCGGTTTCCTCCCACAGCTAAAGACCCCTACGCGCAAGTGAATTATTGAAATAAAATTTAAAAAAAAAAAATATGTTGGTCCCGAAATGACCTAGTTTGTGTCGAGTGGACGTTAAACCCCATTTCTCTCTCTCTCTTCCCTAACCAACACTGACCTTAATATAGACAAAGCTGTTGTTGGGCGACCATTTATCTTTTTGACTATATAAATATTTCAATTAAATAAAAGATAAAGATTTTATTTTAAATTATTAAATGAATTGAAATAATTTGACTTAATTTACTTTAAGGATGCATTATGTAAGATTTAGATAAGGAGCTGATCGTTCAGGCTATAATAGACCCCAAAAAAGATAATGAAAAACGAATATACTGAAAATTTCATTCAAATTACTTTATTATGAACGAAGTTATGCATGTTGGAAGATGATGTGTAGATTGTTTATTATAGTAGCCACGGTACTGGACACACGAAACTTAGTCTTGATTATCCATTTTAACATTAAATTTTTAAATCTCGCTGATGTATTTAAAACCTAAGAGAGTTGATTATGGGCTTGTCGACTTTGTCATGTGAAAAATGTCTAATTAATGATTTATATAAATGCTTAGATTAATTGTTTATTAGAGTAGCCACGGTACTGGACACATGAGACTTAGTCTTGATTATCTTTTTTATCATTAAATTTTTAAATCTCGCTGATGTTTAAATCCTTAGAGGGTTGATTATGGGCTTGTAAACTTTGTCATGCATTTATATAAACATCTGAAGGGTTAGGTCTATTGAATAGTGCCAACTTTAAGCTTGGTCAATGGTCACGAGGGCTAGTGCTAACCCTAACCAGGAAATATCACGAACTAAATTTTCATCTTCCTAGGTCGATGCTTATGTGGAGATTTAACCTCTTCCCCAAATTCTTAAACCCAACCTACAACCTCGCCAAAAATCAAGTGCCCTAACCTTATTTACATCTCAGCGACATTGACAAAATCGTGAGTTGGCCTTAACAAATAGATTTAGCCACATCTGAAGCCAAAAGAAAGACCTGCAATGGGCAGATTTAGCTCTTACAAAATGCATCTTTAAAAAAATTGAAATAACTTTACTTAATTTATTTTAACAGAAAGAAGAATCTGTTTATCCATTTTAATATTGTTCATTTTTTAATCTCATTTTCTCTTTTAATGCCTACAGTTTTTTTTAATGCCTCCATGTTTTTCGTTTTGTCAGCACGATTTATTGTTGTTTGTTTTATTTTTGTTAATTGAAACGAAAATTATATCTGAAAAATATATCTATATCATATCAAATCTTGAAACTCGCCTGGGAGTCACTGTGACTCACTGAGTAAATGGGACACTAGCTCATTAATCATAAAGATTCTGAGTTAATCCTGGGGATGGCTGAGAAAGTTCCTCAGGATCTTCCAGTAGGTTTTCCCTTTGTCAGTGGTGCATGATGGAGGGTCTTTCAGGAGGGTCTGGCAAGAGAGAGCATCTAGTCTTTTGGATGGGACGAAAATCCAAGGTTCACCCAGTTAGCACAGAAAAGAACCTTGGAGATTTGGGAGCAGGCAGAAAGAGTGCTGCCCAGGCAAAATTTATATAATAGAACACTGCATGGCATATACCCGTCTTAATTAGCCCCTGGGTCTGCTGAAAAATAGCATGTTAAACTCATTTCATTCGCAAGTCACCCATTTCAAAAAGAGGGAGTTGGGTGGCCGAATGGCTTAACGCATGAGCATTATATCATATAAGGTCTGTCATTGAGTCAAGTGCCCCTGGCAGTTGGAATTCGATATAAGAGTAGGCGATAGTGCCGCTGTCCGGGCAAAATTTCTCTCATAGCACACTGTATGGCGTATGCCTGTCTTCATTAGCCCAGTATAGGAGCAGAACAATAGGACGTTAAACCCCATTTCATTTCATTTATTGAGTCAAATGATGCTAAAGATCCCTATACACAAGCAAATTATTGAATTAAAATAGATCCATCTGTTAGTCCCGAAATGACCCATTGGTGCTGAGTGGATGTTAAACCCCATTTCTGTCTCTGTCTCTAAATCAAAAAGATGATAGATTTCTATTTTTGATACAATTTTCTGTGTAATTGAAATTATTGTTTTGTAAGGCTGACCTTAAAAATATCTTTGTTTCGCCTAACGCGACCGACTAACTAAAACCACCCCCGACTTAAATTATTTTATTGCACTTTTCCACGATCTTTTTATTTTATTTTGTGTGTCAACCTGAAATATATCATGAGAGTTATTTCCCTATACTATGGCTATGGTTTGATTCATTATTGAAACTGGTTGATCAAGACGAAAGCGTCATAGGTGTCGCTTCTCAACAAAATGGTTGCAGACGAATACACGTCCATTCCCACGAAATAATTCTGCCTCTATGTCTGTGGTGCGTAGTTTTAAACATGACGACGATATTTTCAATATCCGTTTTCGAGAAAAATGAAAGCACAACGCGCACTATCGTTAAAAACGTGTTGAAGGAGTTTCACACTTCAAGTTCGTGGCTAATCGTGTGCGAGTCGGGCATCACGAAAAATCCCGATGTCATTGATTTGTTTGCCAATAAAGAAGACGAATGTTTCCACCCGGAAAATTATTAAGCTGTCAAATTAGCTCTTAAGTTTAATAAAAACTTTCAGTTCGTTACTTTTTACGTCAGACCCCAAATTCATTAAACAAAATTAATGAATCTGTAGTATACAGCTAATAAGTTTTCTGTATTGATTTCTCTGACTTTAAAAAAAAATCTGAAAAAAAAACCGACCTACCGACCCTTATCCTCGATTGTGGGTCGGGTTTGGTGAAACAAAGATATTTTTAAGGTCAGCCTAATAGAGCACTTGCTTCTGCATGAAAGTAGAAATATTGTTCTTAATATATAAAAACAAACAGACCAAACCTCACATAATTCCACATTGCTTAAAGGGGAAGGCTGCTCGAAAATTTTGTATTCTGAAATTAGATAAAGATCTGACAGTTTTTTTTCTTTTTCCCTCGTTTATTACATTTCTTAACTACTTTTAATTCAATAGCTTTAAAATTCCGGAAAACCATATTCAGGTAGCCTCACCCTTTAAATAAAACGCTTAAAAACTCTTTGCATGTACCAGAGTTTTAACCGTTAGAATTTATAATTTGATTTGAATAATGAACATTGAAAGCAGCTCATCTGTATTTGTATTTTTCGCGGACAATTTCTAAATTCTTCATGGTTCAATGCGTGATAATATTTAAAATTGGATTCAGCAAACAAAATAAAAAAATGCGCAATAAATAATTTCCTGGCATGGATTCAATCATCGGAGTAATGAGAGGATAGAGAGAGAGAAATGGGGTTTAACCTCCACTCGACAGTGTAGGTCATTTCGGGACTAACATATGGTTTAATTTTATTTCAATAATTCGCTTGTGCGTAGGGGTCTTTAGTAGTGGGAGGAAACCGGGGGACCCAGAGAAAACTCACAAGGTTGGACGGGCAACCCTACTCCTTGTCACATACAACTGGGGATTCGATACCACGCCAGTTGGCTCAATGATGCCTCCTCCCTGATAGGAGGCCCATCAAAAGATTTATTGAAGACTTGCATTGTCGAATCTCTAATAGGAATATCAGACCAAAAATGGTTCAAACTAGTTTGGGGACCTTATTCACGAAAACTTAAACTAAGATACAATCGAAATTTGAAGAAATACTGCAATTCGATTGGCTGACCAGTAAAATCAATTTGCATATATCCAATGAAGTTGCAGTATTTCTTAAAATTTTGGTTGTAACTTAGTTTAAGTTTTCGTGAATAAGGGCCCCTAACTAGTTTGAACCATTTTTGGTCTGATATTCCTATTAGAGATTCGGAGTAGGGGGGTAGGGGGGTGGTTAACGCGTTTGATCATAAGGTCTGTCATTATGTCAACTGGCGAGGTTTCAATTCCCCCGCTTGTACGTGACAAGGAGTAGGATCGCCTGTTCAACCTTGTTGGTTAACACGTTTTATCATAAGGTCTGTCATTAAGTCAACTGGCGTGGTTTCAATTCCCAGCTTATTCGTGACAAGGAGTAGGATCGCCTGTCCAATCTCATGGGTTTTCCCCGGGTCTCCGGTTTCCTCCCACTGCTAAAGACCCCTACGTGCTTGTTTGAAATGACCTACGGGACGATAAACCCCATTTCTCTCTCTTTCTAATTAAAGATTCAATTGTTACAATTTTCCAGCGAATCTAATAAAGATCAGCAGCTTTTAATGGAAATCAAAATGTTAAATATCATTGTCTTCATTGAATTTATAAAGATGTATTTTTTAAATTTATTTAGATTTTTTGATTTTTTGATTGTTTTATATTTAAATATTCATAAACTATTTTGCATTTATTTACATTTACAAATATATTATCTCAAATTATTTTTTAATTAAAACACTTAAAATCCCATTCCAAGATTGTGGGTTTTCTCCTGGTCCTCTAATTTCTTCCCACAGCAGAAGACCCCAATGTAAGTCCGCCAATGGCCTTGTTTGTGTCGAGTGGATTTCTACCCCTTTCTCTCACTGCTCAAAACCCATTTGTCTTCTCCTTTGAACTCTTAGTTTTATGTTTTCAACAATAGTGGATAGTACTGCCAAACTGCTAGATCCAATATTTTGAAACTGACCACCCCAGCTACCTTTCTTTTTACCGAAGATGTGCCACTTCCCGAGCAATATTCCATTCAGAAATTCGCTCCTTCTTCCTATCTGCTGTAGTTCTCTATAATTTACCATTCTAGCATTCAATTGAACATCTCTCACTCCTAGGTGGATTGGATGGCCGAATGGTTAGCGTGTGTGCGTTGTATCATTAGGTCTGTCATTGAATCAACTGGAGGGGTTTCGATTTCCCGGTTGTACATGACAAGGAGTAGGGTCACCTATCCAGCCTCGTGGGTTTTCTCTGGGTCCTCCGATTTCCTCGCACTGCTAAAGATTGCTACGCGCTGGCGAATTATTGAAATGACCTAGTCCTGAAATGACCTAGTTTGTGTCGAGTGGACCTTAAGTCTCCCTCCCTCTCTCTCTCTCTCTCCTTGTAATTTGTCAACTGTTGAGATAATATATTGTAGATGTAATAATTGAATGATGTTTTTTCCAGTTTATATATTAATCTTTAACTGCATGTCACGCTAGTCGAATTCAACAAGCTATAATATACACATTTCACAACTTGACAATAGGAAAAAAACCCCATTTTAGTCTCAAATAAGTATAAGGGACCAAAACAAAACCAGATGTTAGTCTTAAAATGACTTAAGTATTGTGTTGATGATACATAATACCAATCTGGTTAAAACACAGATCCTATTTCGTTCCATTTTTTATAGTTCAAAATTTTGTTTTACTTGTCTCTACTACATTAGGATCTGGAAGAGTTGTTATATAACCTGCGTTCTGGTTGAAGTGAGGAATTAGCCAATGAAACAGTCTGTTAAGGCGAGTTCTTGGCATGCAATTCACAGAACTGTGGGTAAACCACTAGAAATGTCAACGCTGATTGATTAATCAATATCTGATTTCATATGGTCAAAAGAAGCTCATACGTCCCTGACACAGCCATCCAGTACAACCAGTCAGATCTTCATTTAGTAGAGGCCATTGAAAGTATAAAAAAACGAAACGAAATATAGATCTGTATTTTAATGAGATTGACACTTGGTTTAAATATCAAATTCTTTTGTCTTTTTGGGAAAGGAAAGGAATTCTTCTCAGTCCACATCGTGATTCGAAACTAGTCGATAGTTCACTTGACCATGACCAATAAATCTGTTTTGAATTCATACATTATAGCTTGATGACGACGACCTTTATACATCTTAATTTTCTTCTCGAGTATTTTGTGTGATTTGTAGAATTAATCAAATTTCAGAAATGGGGTTGAACATGCTGCTAATGAAGACAGTCATACACCTTGCAGTGTGTTATCAGGGAAATGTTTCAGCACTACTGCCTGTTCTTTTTTCCAACTTTCAGTTGATCTGTCAATGAACCTTATTTGGGGGTCAGATGGCTGAATGGTCAAATGTGCAGTTTAGAGCATAAAATCCCACACAAGGAGTAGGGTTGCCTGCCTAATTTTGTGGGATTTCTCAAGGTTCTCCACCTGAAAAAAAATTTGTACCACATTTCTCTCTTGCTACACTGTCGTGTAACACTGACATTTAGATTTTTTTCTGCCAAGGCAGTAATCAAATCCAGAAGCACCCGCTTATTGTACAAGCAGCAATATACTCTGAGTCACTGTGGCTCTCAGTCAAGTTCTGTTGTGCAGTCATAATCAAAGGATTGAAATATTTTAAAAGAATTTCATATTACAGAGCCGTGGTTTATAGGGTGTCAATCGAATGTAGATGGAAGCATTACTTAAACCATAGTAGATTGTCCATCAGAAATTAAAATACTGTTGGGGCATTACTTAAACCAAAGGCTACTTGTTTAAATTGTTGGAAATATTGTTGCTTGACAGCTTACTCTTTAATTTTTCCCTGCATTTTTATTAAAGCATTTTATTGAAGAAAATATTAAATGATTTTTGGATTTAGAAAATATCTTTTCTAAAACTGCTTTATTTTAGAAAAATGTCTTTTCTAAAACTATTTGACTAACAAAGTCATCTACACGTTGATATTTTCTTCAGTGGAATTTATTATTATTTTAGATTTTTGAACTTCATTTGAATGTTTTTATGTAACATCCAGGGCTTTCGTTTCAGACTGTTTGACAGTGAATTTGACTGGTTGGAGAACTTAACCATAAAACTCAATAAATAGACTTAAATTTATAGTTATTATGCACAAGGGGGGTTGGATGACCAAATGTATCATAAGGTCTGCCCTTGAGTCAACTGGCGTGGTTTCGATTCCCCAGTTGTACGTAACAAGGAGTAGGGTGGCCTGTCCAACCTCTTGTTTTTTCTCCGGGTCCTCCAGTTTCCTCCCACTGCTAAAGACCCCTACACGTAAGCAAATCATTGAAATAAAATTGAACCATGTTTTAGTCCCAAAATGACCTAGTCAAGTGGATGTTAAGCTCCATTTCTCTATACCTCTATTATGCACAAAAAAAAATGTACGTAAAAATTGAGATAATGCTTTAAAAAGTTGTTTCCTTTACAAAAGGTATCCAGTAAACAAAGAGGTTAATAAATTTACCAGTTTGCAAAATTCTAAAACGAAAGTCCTGGTAGTGTCTGATCAATATTCTTTTTTTTTTATTGTTTTTATGTCTTTTTCCTCCAAATGTATTGAATTACTAGTTGGTTTGTTTTGATTACTAATTGTTGTATTGTTTGTTTGTTTATTTCTATTACTAATTGTTAAATGTGCACGAATGATTTATTTATCTTGTAGGGCGAACCGATTTTGATCTGTAACACCGGAGATACAGAAACGCAATCACAGGCCAATAAATATGTTGAAGTTCCGTTAACTATAGATTGTCTACAAGGCATCCTCACTTGTATTCCTTTACAATTACTCTCACTGCATATCGCAGATACGAAAAACTTGGATGTAAGCATGGAAAAAATGAAACTTGGTATTTATTTATAGCGCCAAGGGCATTGTAATCTGCCAAATTGCATGTTGCTTTGGGTTTTATTTTATTTTATTTTTATAGCTTTTATCACTGGCTGAATTATTTGCACGTGCTTGGTTATCTCCCTTTATTTTGGTTAAAAATAAATTCATATTCCAACTGTGGTTTCGGAGAATGACTGTTATTCTCGGAAGTTCGGAAAATGAATTTGTTATTCCACAGGGGTATTGCCGTGCTGAATATATTCTCCTTTCATATATAGCTTGGTTTATTAATGTTTTTAATTTAATATTGACTAACATCATCACATACCACCTATTTTATCACAATAGACTCATCCTAACACTTATAACCTTATGTTAACTGGATCATCACCATTCCAATTTTAGGGGCGTCCAATTTTAATATGTAACAATGATGACACAGAAACACAGATGTTTGCGTACAAGTTCCTGGCGATTCCGCATAACGTAGATTGTCTGCAAGGAATATTATCAGTAGTACCTCTTCAACTTCTGTCATTCCATATCGCTGTGCTCCGGGAATATGATGTAAGGATTTTGTCCTCCCCTTAAAACAATTGTTTTCTCCAGTTATCCCCCTTTCTTGTCATCATTTCTTTCAATTCATTGGATTTTCTTAAAAATTCTTTGGATTTTCTTCAAAATTATTTGGATTTTCTTAAACATTCTTTGGATTTTCTTAAACATTCTTTGGATTTTCTTAAACATTCTTTAGATTTTCATAAAAATTATTTGGATTTTCTTAAAAATTGCTTTGGATTTTTTTTAAAATTTGCTTTAATTGAAGATATGGTCAAATATGGTATGAATTGGGGTAACTTGAGATGACAATAACATTATAAACATGTTTTTGGATATTTAATCCCAAAAATTAGGGACAACGTTTGACAAGAATCTGAAATCTTTATCAACTTTTCGCAAGACTCTTAAATCTTGAATATTCAGAAAATAACTGTAGGGAAAACATTTCTGGATTCGGTTTAGAAACAACGCTACAGTTTTATTCTTAGTATTATGATTTACAAATCTGTCTTTAGTTCATCATGTGACTGGTCAATATTAAAATTGACATTACAAACCAAACTTTTAAAATTATCGTATTCTACGAAGTTAAACACAGATTTGCAGATCATAAATGTGGAGAAACAGGCAGTAACAGGCTTGATAACTGTGACTGTTATCCCTAGTATAGAAGCATTAACTAGTCCTAAAACTTATATAAGTTGAACTTAGTACCTCACAAACATAGGAGCTGTTTGTCGTGTTATTTTAATTTATTGGAGGAATATTCATCATGAAATGGATACAGAAAGCAGACTATTTAACACGTGGCCTACCAATAGAACTGATGGTTCAAAACTTACAAGTGCTTGTTCGTCACATATATTTTTCAAACATGAGAGTTATGCTTTACGTATACCATGGTGTTTCAATAATCAGCTTTCTGTATCTATGGTTTCAAATTTAACTATATACATATATATATATCTTAATAAAAATAACTTGTGGGTCGGTCCCAGAAAATCTCTTCAAAATCTTTTCTTTTAAGCATTTGATTCGTTGTATGTTTTAATGCATTCAATATCCACTTTCTTATATTTATTATTTGTTTTCCTGTTTCTGTTCTGTGATACAGACATCACACTCTTAAGAGTACATCCTTATTACACAACTTCGTTACTATTACACACACTTCGTTACTATTACACACTTTTCCTTACTCTTAATACACACTTCCTTCCTCTAATACACACTTCCTTACTATTACACACACTTCCCTACTATTACACACACTTCTGTACAAACAACTTTGTTACTATTACACACACTTCCTTATTATTACACACACTTCCTTATTATTACACACACTTCTGTAAAACAACTCTGTTACTATTACACACAACTCGTTACTATTACACACATTTCGTTTCTTTTACACATACTTCCTTACTATAACACACTTTTCCTTACTCTAACACACACTTCATTACTATGACACTCACTTCCTTACTATTACACACGCTTACTCTAATACACACTTCCTTACTATTACACAGAGTTCATTACTCTAATACACACTTCCCTGACTAACACAAATTTCCTTAGTCTAACACACTAGGTCTTATGTTATTTCTTATCCCTCCTTATTTCTATTCCTAGTTCAACCCACCCACTTTTTTAATCCAAATTTGTCTACTTTACAAAAAACGAAAACCGTCCCCATCTTTCTCCTAGTTTCAAAACAACGCTAAGTTGTTGCTTCTCCTATTCTTTCCTCATGCTTGCTATAATCTCTTAAAACTTAAAGATTTTGAACAGATGAAAAGTGGGATGAATGTTGTATGTGGGCAGATAGTAAAATGGATTAATATATTTATTTTTTTTTTATCAGTTTAACTTTGTATTTAGTAAAACAAATTTCTAATGTGAGGGAAAAATGACATGTGGTAGCTTTTTTGGTTATTTATTTATTTATTTATTTACTGAAATTTAATCCTATAGAGCCTATGCTTTTATAGCTGCTTTCCTTTTATCAGCATTTTATTTCTATATACACCCACACTGAAATGTGGTTGGGATATTGTCAACACACTTGTCTGTCCGTCAGTCTGTCGTCAATTATGATCGGATACACTTTAAACTTATGCACAGTACTTTTTGTAGTTCATGAGACAAAGAATCCAATTGATTTTCAATGAGTAATGATAATAACTGTTTGATTTATGGTCCTTGATCACTTCAAATATAGACTATCATGCGATTGATTTGAAATTTATACACTGTAATTATTGATTTTCAATAACTCACACAGCTAACTTATAATTTTATGACCAGTACAGGTTATGTATAATAATTTTTACTGTTCGCACTACGACTTACTAGAAGTCTTTATTTTTGATAAGTTAATCAATTTTTAGTGTCGTATAAATGATCCCATTATCATGAAGAATATAAATGTGACAATATTAAGGAACTGCTTGGAGGACTTAGCTGCTGTGGACATGTTTAGTTGCCAGGCAACCTCAGATCAGTAGTTTACTTAAAAAATAATTATCTCCCTTTTCACTTGCATCGTCAGTAAAATTAGTTGTCCTTAACATAAAAGAAATTTTATTTACACTTTTTTTGCATACAGTTTAACATTAGCAAGTTCTCTGAACTTAAAAAAAAAATGTTTTGGATCTTTGCATTATTTTCTTATTATTTATTTTTTATTTAATTGTTATTTTTTTTTTTAAAAGTAAGATTGAAATTACTTAACTTAGCACATATTGCATTTTGGTAAAAAAAAATAGTAGCAATAATATTCATTTCTGCTACCTGCCATAGTAAATAAATATTTTATTATTTTTTTATTATTATTTAATTAACAAAAAAAAACTTTATATGGTAAAATAATTGTTAATACCGAACAATATTTTATTATTTTTTTATTATTATTATCTTAATTAAAAAAAACAACTTAATATGGTGAAATAATTATTAATACCGAACATTTCATTTTTATTTTTCTTTACATGAAGATTTGAAATAGGATCTTTGACCAAATATCAATAAATGAATAACAACCTATGAGATGTATTTGAATTAAGTTGTGTTTAATACATTAAAATATTGAAATACAGTGTTTCCAACTTTATGCTATTGTTTTTATAGGTGGACTGCCCCCGTAATCTCGCCAAGAGTGTTACCGTGGAATAAAGGACCGACCCCTTCTGATGTAAGATTTATATATGTGATATAAATATATATATATATATTATGTCTACGGCATTACTGTAAAGGGTATTTGTGGGGAGGGAGCGGCTTGAAGACACAAATTAATCTGACAATTTTTAAACTAATTTCATATATTTTGTGTGATAACTATGAACAAAAATTTGTTTGTGTAATAAGAACAATTAGTTTGTGTGATAATTAACAACAACAATATTTTGCATTGTTTCAAATTGCTTTTTTCTTACAATTTTTATCAAAAGTCCAGTTTTAATAAAAAAAAAAAAGAATAAACAATTTGTATATTCCATATACTTGCTAAATTAGCGTTTATGCTTTTCGATAGAAATACTCAAATTGTTATAAATTTATTATCCATCTTATATGAGAATTCATGTATTGTTTCACAGTTCAAACATTAGACCTGGGAATTAAATATCATATTCTGGCCCCACATAGAAATTTCTTGGAGCAATAACAGTCCCCTAACTTCTAAACAGCCAGTGTTTATCCACCATTTAAACAATGTTATAATTTAATAAGAACTAAACAGACAGTGGACAATCAATCGAATTGATTTTCAATGCTAGTGATTTTATTTTAAAATTAAACAAACAAACCGTCATTACTATTATTACTTAATGAAATAACATTGAACGATATGTTAGTCCCGAAATGACGTAGTTTGTGTCAAGTGAATGTTAACCCCATTCCCCTCCCTCTATTATTACTTCTTATTACTTTATTATTATCAAATACACAAATTATGATAAAGGCCATAGGAAAATAGGGGGGTTGAATAGCCAAATGGTTAGCATGTGCGTGCTGTATCACAAGGCCTGTCATTGAGTCAACTGGCGTGGTTTCGAAATCCCCGGTTGTACGTGACAAGGAGTAGGGTTGCCTGTCCAACCTCGTGGGTTTTCTCTGGGTCCTCCGGTTTCCTCCCACTGCTAAAGACCCCTACGCGCAAGCGAATTATTGAAATAAAATTAAACCATATGTTAGTCCCGAAATGACCTAGTTTGTGTCGAGTGGACATTAAACCCCATTTCTCTCTCTCTCCATAGGAAAATAAATTTACTATACATATACAGATAGAAAATAATTAGGCTATATAACTTCGTTCCACAGGCATTAAACAAAGTTGTTACACACACAATAAGACAGTGAAAAGCCAAGCGTGAAATTTATAAATTAAGTTAGGAAGTCCGTTAGGAGTTTAGATTTATATATAGTACTATATATATCAAATACAAAAAATAACATAGAGGCCATAGGAAAATAAATTTACTATACATATACAGATAGAAAATAATTAGGCGATATAACTAAGTTCCACGGGCATTAAACAAAGCTGTTACACATACAATAAGGCAGTGAAAAGCCAAGCGTGAAATTTATAAATTAAGTTAGGAAATCCCTTAGGGGTTAAGATTTCTATATAGTACTGAGTATTTTTTACAGATAGACATGTCAATAAAATATTTTGATAACAGAATAAATATTTTCATTGTTACATATGTATTTATTTCCATTCACTCATCTATTGTTCATTTAGAAATACATATATACATGTTCTGCAGGCCTTATACTGCCCTGCTAATTTGCTTTTAAAGCTTTTTTGCTACTTGTCATAATCCATGTTTTGATCTTTAATAATAATAATAACTTTATTCTAATTTAAGATTAAACTTTAACCTGAATAGTATTCAGTATTCATTTTTAAATCAATTTATTTTATCAATCAACTGTCTCAAGATTTTTTTAAATAGATCAAATTATATATTGATAATTATATTTATTATAAAATTCCTCGTATACAGAGAGAGTCTTGTCAACTGCACCCTTGTTTATCATTCTGTTACCTAATCTGTTTAATAGATCAACATGAAAACAATCAGGGCCGTTATTCACGAAAACTTAAACAAAGTTACAACCAAAATTTTAAGAAATACTGCAACTTCATTGGATATATGCAGATTGATTTTACTGGTCAGCCAATCTAATTACAGTATTTCTTAAAATTTCGATTGTATCTTAGTTTAAGTTTTCGTGAATAAGGGCCCAGGCCCCAAGTTCAAAAAGCATTCCCAGACTTAAGTTAAGAATTTACTCAACTTTCAATCACTGTTGATGAAAAATATCATTGATCCAGAAATGATGTAATTGATACATTAAAACAACAAAGTTTTATAAATGGCTACATTTTAGTTAAAATAAGGCGAACAGTTTCGAGTAAATTCTTAACTTAAGTCTGAGAATGCTTTGCGAACTCCGGACCTGATTAAAATACAGATCTATATTTCGTTTGGTCTTTTATACTTTCGATGGCCTACACTACATGAAGATCTGACCCGTTGTACTGAAGGGTCGAGCGACTTTTGACCCTATGATTAATCAATCAGCGTTGATGTTTCTAGTAGGATATCCACAGTTCTGTGCATCACACCAAGAACTCCCTGCAACAGTCTGTTTCATTGGCTAATACCTCGCATCATCCATAACACGGGTTATACAACAACTCTTCCAGATCCTAGTGTAGTAAAGACAAGTAAAGCAAAGTTTTGAACTATAAAAACTCTAAAAATCGGATCTGTGTTTTAATCAGATTGGGTGTTAAAGATAAGAAACGCCATGATGATTCTGTGTAAAATATAGCAGGTCATGTGTAAGAATCTGTAATTATAGATATACATATACGATCTCTGTAAGAATATCTTAATTTCATAGCACCAAGTTGAGACAAGGCCGAATGGTTAGCAAATGCCCGCTGTATCATAAGGCCTGTCATTCGTGGGTTTTCTCCGGGTCCTCCGGTTTCCTCCCACTGCTAAAGACTCCTACATGGAAGTGAATTATTGAAATAAATTAAACCATATGTTAGTCCCGAAATGACCTACTTTGTGTCGAATAGATGTTAAACCCCATTTCTCTCTCTCCCTTTTAAAGATTCGACTTTCACAATAATGTTGTTAGCAAGGGATTCAGAATCCCTCCTTTGACGATCAGCAACTTTATTTCACCTTCCCTGTTTCTTATAATAACCGTGGATCTCGTTTGTTTTATTCTAGGTTGACCAACCACGACATTTGCTGAAAACACATGCAAGTAACCAATGACAACATTTGCTGTAAATACATAGAAGTAACCAATAGCAACATTTGCTGTAAACACATGCAAGTAACCAATGACAACAGTTGCTGTAAACATATGCAAGTAACCAATGACAACAATGGACCAGTTTTTATTTCATATATTATTATTACGTTTATTTAGTTTTTTGATGATATTAATAATTGTACATTAATCTATTTCAATAATCTATAACTTTGGGGGTCATATTTTTTTATTACATGGCAAAAGGGGATTTTTGTTTTGTTTTTAGAAAACGCTTAATTTATATGTTCAGTGGCAGATCAAGGTAGGGGCTATCGTGGCCCTCCAAATCGTAAATAACCCTATAAAATATGCATTAATTATTATATTTCTATGAAATGTGTAAATTTTAGCTTTTTGTTGGTTGGTATGGTCTGCCACGGTTAATACTACATGATAAGGCCAGCTCGATTTTTCGTCATAGGTCACGAGATGTAAACGTGGCTCGCGCTAATCCCAACACTAACGCTGGACCTAGCCCCAATGCTTACCCTAACCCTAACCTACAATCTTGACAACAATCACGTGCCCTTACCTTGTTTACATCTCAGTGACCTTGACAAAAATTCAGCTGGCCTTAACAAATAGATTTAACCGGTCCTCCACTGCTGTTGTGTAATTGTTGTATTCATTTAGGCCGCGCAAACAAAATATAATGGTACTCAGACTCGTTCGATATTTTTTAGGACATGGGTAGATGAGCGGATATGCCGGCGAATCGATTGCGGTCATAAAATATTTGCCCGAAAATATCTAACATACTAGAAACGTGTAATTAGTCAGGCAAATGGTTTGACGAGCAGAATCGTCGTCGCTGTGATCAGTCACGTGGGCGATTTTAAAAATCTGCGCAATTGTGCGAAAAATATACTCATCTACCCTAGGTATTAGAGTTACTTCAGAGAAAGGAAATTTAATAGTCTTTTATATTTTTTTGTTTTAAATAAAAAACTTGTGGCTATAATTGAAGCGGGCATATTTGAGGAACAGAATATATATTTTTTATATGGCCTTATTTGGGATTTTTAATTTTAAATCACATCATTGAATTATACTTCGTCAAATATCATGGGATCTTTGTAAATTGTTGTACTTCAACAAATATCATGGAATATTTATTAACTCATTGTATTTCATCTTTGGTTATATGATACAAATAACTACGGTTTTAACTACAAGAAAAATACCAGAAAATTGTATCCATAAATTACATAATGTCATGCTCGACATCTTTAAACAATTCCAAATACAGATAACACTATCATCCACTACATTTCTACGCAATCATCACATGACCATCCTCTTGTATAGATACTGTATGATTGCCAGGTTATCTGTACCATTGTTTTACCCCAACATGAAAGGATAAAGTGACAACTGTACTATAACTCAGGTATTATGTAGTTGGACTGTTTTAGTAGGTCTGTATCTTATGTTTAGTTCCAAAGCATTGGTCTGTTAATTACTCAGGGGTTTGGATGGTCGAATGGTTAGTGCGCGTTGTATCATACGGTCTGTCATTGAGTCAACTGGCATGGTTTCGATTCCTCGGGTGTATGTGACAGGAAGTAGGGTCGCCTGTCCAATCTTGTGGGTTTTCTCCGGGTCCTCCGGTTTCCTCCCACTGCTAAAGACCCCTACAAGCAAATGAATTATTGAAATAAAGTGGAATGGATGTTAAACCCCATTTCTCTCTCTCTCTCTCTCTGTTAATTACTCAACACTGCTAGTGATAGTAAACAGTTGTAAACCCAACATTCATCATCTTAAATGGGCCATATACAACAGTAGGAACCCAGTATTTTTTCATGATTCTCAACAGATTTAAACAGTTTTCCAACAATGGTTTGAAACTAAACATTAAACACAGAAACTCCCTCTAAAACAACACAACTACACGATACCTGAGTTATCGTAAGATTCAAGATCTGAGCCAAATTTATTTATTTGAGCTTTAAATTATCAATTAGTTTGTTTTATAACCATTTAAATTATTTCCCTTAGTGATATCTCATATTTTAAGCAATATTTATTATGTAGCGTGTCTTTGTTTATATGATATTATATGACTTTAAAACTGTTGATCGCTGTTTGTATTATGCAGATGATTGTTGGCTTAATCTACGCTTAAATTTACTTAAATCTGATTATTTAACAATAAATTTATAAAATATCACTGTTTTAATATATTAATATATAAATTATTACCAGTATGATATTTTGTATAGGTGGTTCCCAGCCTTTCTCTAAACTCTCTGACCCATTGGGACATATACAAATACACCCTACCGCTATTACGCGCCTGCTCAGTATATCTGGGTATGACATTTTCTCTCCAACCCCTTGGGACACATACAAATACACCCCACCCCCATTACACACCTTGGGACATATACACCCTCACCCCTGTTACAAATCTGCTCAGTTCAGTCATATTTTCGGTAATAGTACCGGGGATCGTGTGCTACCATTGTTTAGAAAAACTCTAAACTGAGCCATTTTGATACATCATCAACCCATTGCAAGTTGTGGTCATTCCTATTAATGTGACACTGATATGAGCTACAGAAATTCTTTGTCCTATACCGTCAATTTTATACTGAAGGCGTGGGAAACACTGATCTTATCAAGTTATAGGACATATTCTGTTAAAGGCCTGGCTGTTGAAATGAGTTTGCATGTAATCTCGGCCTTGCTGTAAAGACCTTGTAATCTCAGCCTTGTTGTAGAGACCATGTAATCTCATCCTTACTGTAAAGACCATGTAATCTCAGCCTTGCTGTAGAGACCATCTCATCACAGCCTTGCTGTAAAGACCATGTAATCTCAGCCTTGCTGTAAAGACCATGTAATATCAGCCTTGCTGTAGAGACCATATAATCTCAGCCTTGCTGTAGAGACCATGTAATCTCAGCCTTGCTGTAGAGACCATGTAATCTCAGCCTTGCTGTAGAGACAATGTAATCTCAGCCTTGCTGTAGAGACCATGTAATCTCAGCCTTGCTGTAGAGACCATGTAATCTCAGCCTTACTGTAGAGACCATGTAATCTTAGCCTTGCTGTAGAGACCATGTAATCTCAGCCTTGCTGAAGAGACCATGTAATCACAGCCTTGCTGTAGAGACCATGTAATCTCAGCCTTGCTGTAGAGACTGTAATCTCAGCCTTTCTGTAGAGACCATGTAATCTCAGCCTTGCTCTAAGGGATGACTGGAAATCTTGGTTTATGTTTAGACTGTAAACTGGTTCTAATTACACAGTTTATTAAATAGCATTTCAAAACTTGATCACCTGTCTTTATTATGTTTATTAGGGGGGGGGGGTGAAGGGGGCAGCAGTGGTGGCCTAGAAAGTTGATCATGATTTTCCAGCGTGGTCCCCATCTTGTCGGTGATGCAGGACGGAGGGTCTTGCAAGGGACAGCGTCTAGTTGTTTTGATGAAACGAAAAAAAACAAGGTCGCCTGTACACATTGGCGTACATGTAAAAGATCCCTTGGCAGTTGGAATTCTATATAAGAGTAACCCGAAGTGCCGCTGTCTGGGCAAAATTTCCCTTATTGGGACACTGTAGAACATTAAACCCTATTTTATTTTATTTCAGTTTATGGTGAAATGAGTGGATGGCTGCGCTTTAGATCATAAGGTCTGTCATTGAGTCAAGTGGCATGGTTTTGATTCCCCGCTTGTACGCGACAAGGAGTTGGGTGGCTTATCAAACATCGTGGATTTATCCTGGTTCCCCCCTCCCCCCCCACTGCTATAGACTCCTATACGGAAGCGAACTATGGAAATAAAATTGAACCATGCTAGTCCAAAAATAAGCCCATTTCTCTCTCTTTTATTATGTTTGTATTTCTGTTAGGGGCCACAGTGTTCGAATGTCCCAGATTTTAAACGTGGAGTCAGCCGAAGGGTATGGCTCCACTGCCATGTCAAAATATCCCTTATAGCAAAGTGCATAATTTATAAATGTCTTTACTAGCCCAGTTGATGCAAAAAAGTAGAATGGCAACTTCTGAAGAAGACTTTCGCAGCCATTGTTTTCATTGGACCTATAAAAAGCGTGATGTTACTGTTATCTGAGCTTATTGGTCAAATCCTTATAATGGGAGGAGTCGACAAAAAGGTCAATTTTTTCACAAGTAAAATAAAATAAGGAAATGTTGGGGAGCAATTTTCAGCTGAAAGGTGCTCAATCAAAATCTGTCCTCGACTGAGACCCTTAAAATACAATGTACATACTGCTTTGGTCAATAATAATAGACATTAAAATCTGATTAAAATACAGATCTATATCTCGTTTCATTTTTTATACTTCTGATGGCCTCTACTACATGAAGATCTGTGGGAGGTTGTGTCATGGGTCATACAAGCAGCTTTTGACCCTATGACGTCAGAGATTTGATTAACCAATCAGCGTTGATGTTTCTAGTGGAATGCCCACAGTTCCCTCCTTCGCACGCCAAGAACTCGCTGCAACTGTCTGTTTTATTGGCTAATCCCTCACTTCAGCCAAAACACCGGTAATATAACAACTCTTCAGAGATCCTAGAGTTGTGAAGACAAGTAAACCAAAATTTTGAAGTATAAAAAAACGAAAAAAAAATAGGATCAGTGTTTGAATCAGATTGTAGACAAAAGAATGGTGAAGCATTATTTGTAATAAACAATCAATATTTTTATTTCCAAAATTTAAACCATAATGAAAATGAGCGCCAAGGAGCCCATTTAAGAATGTGCATACAAAGTTACGTAAACATAAGATAGGGTCGCCTGTCTAACCTCATGGGTTTTCTCTGGGTCCTTTGGTTTCCTCCCACAGCTAAAGACCCTTACACACAAGTGAATTATTAAAATAACATTTATTCATATGTTAGTTCCAATTCTCTGTCAGTGTCATATCAGTTGAGTAGGATAAATGAAACTGTTTGTACGCAGTGACATAAAAATACTTGTGATCTACTTTCAATTTAACCATATGTTAGTCCCGAAAGAACATTAAACCCGATTCTCTGTCACATCAGTTGAGTAGGATAAATTAAACTGTTTGTACACAGTGACATAAAAATATTTTGATCTACTTCCACTTTAATCATATGCTAGTCCCGAAAGAAAATTAAACCCGATTCTCTGTCACATGGGTTGAGTAGGATAAATTAAACTGTTTTTGATCTACTTTCACTTTAATCATATTTCAGATACTACCTATTAACACACGATCAGATTCAATATAGATGGAACATTTTCCTTTTGTTGAAATTCTTTTCTGTTATCACATTCACAATTAAATACTTTTATAATAAAGAGGAATTTAAGTCCATGATTTCTCATGGACAAATTTTGAATATAAATAAAGAAGAGGTCATTTGTCACAGAGCACGGAATTCAACCCGCTGAAATTCCAAGTTTTAACAGTTGTAATTCCTCTAACAGGGTTGGATGGCCGAATGGTTAGTGCATGCACATTGTATCATTGAGTCAACTGGCGTGGTTTTGATTCCCAGTTGTATGTGACAAGGAGTAGGGTCGCATGTCCAAACCTCGTGTATTTTCTCCGGGTCCTCCAGTTTCCTCCCAATGCTCAAGGCAAGCGAATTATTGAAATAAAATTGAATCAAATGGTTAGCGTGTGCGTGCTGTATCATTAGGTCTGTCATTGAGTCAACTGGCATGGTTTTAATTCCCTGGTTGTACGTGACAAGGAGTCGCCTGTCCCAACCTCATGGATTTTCTCCACTGTTGGTCCCAAAATGACCTAGTTTGTGTCGAGTGGACGTTAAACCCCATTTCTCTCTCTCCCTCTCTATATGATAGTACACATTGTTTGCAGGAATAGTTGTTTTGATAAGTTTAGCGTGGTGTAGAATTGTATATATTGTCTATTTGATGTACTGATCGTGATCGGAATAGGGTATCATGGGTAATTTAAAACACATCATATATATACCTATACTAATTCCCGTTATTGATAAAATCCACGCCGTATACGAACTAGCAGCCAAAAATAATAATAAATTTAACGGTAGGCAAAACACCACAGCTTTTTCTGATAATATTTCATGTCTCCACATAATAACCCACAATACAACGTAAACAGGAAGTGTAAAAGGTAATGTCACGATTTCTAAAGTTCGTAAAATGTCTCGCGCAACAGCATTACTCTCGTACATCCAGTCTCTCCATATAGTTGCGATGACTAACACAGAAATGGCTGCGACGCTAGTTGGAGTTCCTTGGTTAAATTCTCGTAAATTTTGGAAAAAATATGCGTCTCTTTGTAGACAGAAAAATATTAACGAAGCACCACAACACTGAAACAAATACAAGACAAATTTATCTTTGTTAAAAAAAACAAACAAAAACAAGACAAATTCATCTTTGTTAAAAAAAAGTTTTACGGGTAGTTAACTTTAAAACAAAAATCTTTGTTCAATTATTAAAAAGTCTTCGTTAAATTTTAAAAAGATAATCTCTGTTTAAAATATCAAATAAAATTCATGAAATTAATGTCACTGTAACTGTAAAATTGAATGGTCGTCTTTTAAACTGGACACAAGTACAAATTAGATGATTTTGGGTGATTTTAAATGTTTCTTATGAATTTTTAACACAGATTTGATATTGAATGAATGTTAAAGAAATTAATACTAAATACACAAGATTAAATGAAACCACTGTTACAGTGCGTCATAAATGTATAATGAAATAAATGCACCCTAACAGAACCTCCTCATGTCTAAACTAACGGATGAGGGATAACTCTTGTGTTTTTTTCAGCGTAATATGGCTCAGTAAGTAAGACTCTGGCTCGCTAGCCCGGAGGTCCCCGTGTTCGCTCCTTGTGTTGGTGTGGCAGGATGGAGGGTCTGACAAGGACAGCTGTCTAGTCATTCGGATGGGACAAACAAAGAGGTCCTGTGTACACATTGGCATGCACATAAAAGAAACCTTGACACTTGGAATTCATATAAGAGTACCCCGCAGCGCTGCTGTTCGGGCACAATTTCCCTCATAGTACATTGCATGTCTGTCTTCATTATCCCAGTCGGTGCAAAAAGTAGGATGCTAAAACCTATTCCTTTCATTTCATAAGATGTATAATAATATCTGTACTCACCCACATGTCATGAAGAAAACCATCAACAGGTCCTTGTAAACATAGTAATATAAAGGTAGAGAAACAGGTGATATTACCTATAATGGGTAAAACAGGTACAGACTTTCCTTCATGTTTACAAATTACAGGTAAATTACCAGGTACCTACAATATATAACATCATTAGACATCAGTTAGCAGTTACACTTGGCTGATTTTATTCTTTAAACATACATTATGCAAGAGCTAAACCTGTCTATTGCAGGTATTTCTTTAGGCCTGAAATGTTATCTAAATTATTAATTAGACATTAATTAACCTATACAGACCATAATCATCTCTCGATGTTATCATTAGCCTGCGATATTTAATGGATTTGAATACATTTTGTGATGGATAATTTAATGCAAAAATGGATAAGCAAGACTTTGTTGGGTGCATCTTTTTAATCCAACTAAAGCTTAACATGTACCTGCTTACAATTTGCAAATTTCAGAATATACCCATCTCAATCAATAAGAACAATTACAGAATATACCCATCTCAATAAGAACAAATACAAAATATACCCATCTTGATCAGAACAAATACAAAATATAACCATCTTAATATGAATGAATCTCAGAGGCCCCAATAAAACCCAATGAGGTTGGACATGCAACACTACTTCTTGTCACGCACAGGTGTGGGCTCAAAACCACGCTACTTGGACTCCATGACAGACCTTATGGTCCAAAGCACACGCATCTTAATAAGAGCAAATCTCAATATACCTACCTCCATCTCAATAAGAGAGAAATCAGATTTTCCAACCTCAAAAAAAAGCAAATCTCAGAATACATCTCAAATAAAGATTTTTATTTTTGAATGAGTAAACTGGGCTTTTACTCCCTGTTTTACAAAACTATAAAATAACTCACCTGTATTTTAATTCTATCAACTAACCTACAAGCATGGCCATAACTCACCTGTATTTTAATTTTCACTATCAGCTAACCTTCAAGCATGGCGGTAACTCACCTGTATTTTAATACTCACTATTAACTAACCTGTAAGCACCTCCATAACTCATCTGTATTTTAATACTCACTATCAACTAACCTTCAAGCATGGCCATAACTCACCTGTAGTATTTTAATACTCACCTGCAAGCACGGCCATAACTCATCTGTATTTTGATACTCACTATCAACTAACCTACAAGCATGGCCATAACTCACCTGTATTTTAATTTTCACTATCAACTAACCTACAAGCATGGTCATAACTCACCTGTATTCTAATACGTATTGTTTAATGGTCGAGAGCGAGACATTAAGTAATATATTGTAACAACATGAGGGCCGTAGGCCCGAATGTTTTTACAATATATTACGCAATGTCGTAAGCTCGAGACCATTAAACATCTTAAAATACTGACACTCCGCACGAGCTTTTACGTCACACTAGTCCAATATCTCACTAGTATGAATAAAGTACTATTGGCAAGTTGCCCGTACGATTATTTGAAATAATGGTACGCCAACATCAAAGGGTGACGTCACATCTGTATTTTAATCACTATTAACTAACCTTCAAGCACGACCATAACTCACCTGTATTTTAATACTCACTATTAACTAACCTTCAAGCACGACCATAACTCACCGGTATTTTATTTTTTTGCTATCAACTGACCTTCAAGCATGGCCATAACTCATCTGTATTTTAATACTCACTATCAACTAACCTACAAAGCATGGCCATAACTCACCTGTATTTTAATACTCACTATCATGTAACCTTCAAGCATGGCCATAACTCACCTGTATTTTAATTTTCACAATCAACCTACAAGCATGGCCATAACCCATCTATAAATCAATTTTTCCAATCAACATACCTTTTTATATGACAATAATTTTAATATAATGCTACAGAATAAAGACGCCATGAGCATGGCCTTCCATGTTGGTAGTGAAAAGAACGACGTAGTCTTGTGTAGAGTATAAAAATCAACAAATAATAAAATTAATAAACTCAACATCTTCACCAGACATCTGAAAATATACAAAATTATAAACCTGTAACAGTAAATCTCTTTGATCTTTGGGGTAAATCCTATGTCCGGAATAACTTGCGGTCTGAATATATTCCATGGAATTTGTTGCTATTCTTCTGAAAGTTTTCTTCCAGGGTTATTCTTCCAGGGTAGGGTTTTTTTTCCATAAGAAAACATAATAAAAGGTTTTTCTTACTAGAATTCTGAGATATTCTCATTTTACGTACATGTAATATAGACTTCAAGAAAAACCCTCAAACAAAAATCTCAGCCTCGGTTTATCTTCTTCTCAGATTAATTTTTTCAGTTTTTCTTTCTGCAGCATAACCTCGGCCTTGTGCTTTATCCTACATATTATTCTACGTTCTGCCAAGTTTAAGTGTCGGGAATCAAGTGAATTGGGGTTTAATTACCTACTTTTCTACTCCATCCAGGCTAATGAAGATGGACTGTGTGTTATGAACAACATTTTGCTCGGATAGTGGCGCTACAGAACTTTCTAGACCAAAGCCAGGATGGACACCTCGACCTCAAGTTCCACTCAAAAACTAGTTCATTTCGGGACTAACATATGATTCAACCTTATTTCAATAATTCGATTGCGCGTAGGGGTCTTTAGCAGTGGGAGGAAATCGGAGGAACTGGAGGAAACCCACAATGTTGGACAGGCAACCCTACTCCTTGTCACATACAACTGGGGAATCAAAACCACGCCAGTTGACTCAATGATACAACACGCACGCGATAGGAATCCCGTGAATAAAAGAAATCAATACTTACAAATATTTGATATTATCTTCGATAGATTCTGTGAATGAATCAATTTTGATGTAACAGATGAGCAACGTGATAATAATGGTTACTATGGTGATGTATAATACACATGGTAAAATGTTTATATGACTTCCATAAAACTAAAAAAAAAGAAAAAAAAACCAACCAAAACATTAAAAATATATCTATCAAGATCTTGTTATATCAATCCTATTTCGTTTCGTTTTTATGGTTCAAATTTTCATTTTACTTGCATTTACTACACTATGATCTGGAAGAGTTGTTATCATTGACGTGTTGTGGATAGTGTGTGGTATTAGCCAATGAAACGGTCTGTTACGGCGAGCTTTAGACGTGTTTTGCATGGAACTGTGGGTAATCCACTAGTAGTAACATCAATGCTGATTGGTTAATCAAATGTCTGACGTCATAGGGTCAAAAGCCACTCGTATGAACTCTGACATGACCTACCGCAACAACCGGTCAGATCTTCATAGTGTAGGCCATCGAAAGTATAAAAAAATAAAACGAAATATAGATCTGTATTTTAATTCGATTGTTGTTATATAGAAGATATAAAGCTGATATCCCTCGCCCGTAATCCCAAAATAAATAGATGACACACATTAATTACTTGGGCAGTTATCTTTGTATATAGCAAGACCAATCAAACTCCTTATCACTCTGCTTAACAAATGTTCGTCATCGAACCTAGTTGATGTTGTCTGGAGTAACTATCGCCCAAGGTGGTGTTCTTTCTAACATCCAAGCTGACCTAATAAAACTATACATCAAGTTTTATCAATTCCACTCAATTATTATCAAATCTATCGTGATTCAAAGTTATCAGGATCCAAAACTATTGTGATTTAAATCTATCATGATCTAAAGCTATCGTTCCAAAGCTACTGTGATCCAAAGCTATTGTGATCCAAAGCTATTGTGATCCAAAGCTATCATGATCTAAAGCTTTTGTGATCTAAAGCTACCATGATCCACAGCTATTGTGATCTAAAGTTACCATGATCCAAAGCTATCATGATCTAAAGCTTTTGTGATCTAAAGTTACAGTGATCTAAAGCTACCGTGATCCAAAGTAGACAAATCAATCTATATTTTGTCTAATCAGAAAATGGTCATGATCGAACTTAGTCAAGGTTTTGTTATCGTGATACCATACACTAAATTTGCCAAACCATCGACAATGAAATTTGTTACATCTGCAAAGCTTTAGTGGAAAACATTAATCATTAAATTCAGTTAAGACATTCGCATAATCAGAATCTACCACAAGTAGAGTTGTTATGTTCCAAAGTCTGGACCAATCAAATCCCTTATCGCAACTCAGCTTAAGCAGAAAATGATCATCGACGAAATTAGTCATGGTATCGGTGTAATGAAATTAGTCATGGTATCGGTGTAATGAAATTAGTCATGGTATCGATGTAATGAAATTAGTCATGCTTATCGCTCTGCTTACCCTAAGCAGAAAATGTTCATTATCAAAATGAGTCATGGTATACACCAAGTTTAAATCACTCTCATTTAAACATACATTATGTAAGAGGTAAATCTGCCTATTGCGGGTCTTTCTTTAGGCCTGAAATGTTTCCTAAATTATTAATTAGACATTAATTAACTTACCCAGACCATAATCAACTCTCGATGTCATCGGACATCTACGATATTAATTAGATTAGAACAGTTCAGCCATATTTTGATTTAAGCTAAAAATGGAGGAGCGAGACTAAGCTTCGAACAACCAGTGTGGTGGTTGCAATTCATGCACACATCTTGTCAAACCTTCAAAAGCTAAACCTTCGCTCGCAATGGAGCAATTTGCATAAAATTTTCAGTAAGTTCATTTTGCATTATCTATTTTCAAACTATTATAGTAAGAATGGCTAGCTCTTTATCTAAATCTTACATAATGTATCTTGTGAGAGAGAAATGGGGTTTAACATACATTCGACACAAACTAGGTCATTTCGGGACTAACATAGGGGTCTTTAGCAGTGGGAGGAAACCGGAGGACCCGGAGAAAACCCACAAGGTTGGACAGAAAAAAGAAACAAATTTGGACAGACAACCCTACTCCTTGTCACATACAACCGGGGAATCGTAACAATGCAAGTTGACTCAATGACAGACCTTATGATACAGTGAGCACATTCTAACCATTCGGCCGTCCACCCCCCTTGTTCCAGACAGACAGACATAGGAGAATAAGAGAATGAAATACTTACAAATAAAGATAACCTTATACCAGGACAAACACTGAGAACTGATGCTACCAAGATACTATACTTCATACTCAACATTAATTGACTAAACAATATGGCCGCTAGTATTAATATAGTCAGCAACTCACACCATTGAAATAAACCATATCTAATAAAAATATACAGTCAAATTATTCATAGAAATTAAATATATTTAATGTTTCAAACTAATATCATGAAATCTTACCAAGACGATGAGATTTCTGTTAGTTCTCATTCAATGAAAATTCTGAATTCTTAAAATATTTCAGCTAAACATTTTGTGACTTTGGTTCTTGCAATCGTAGTTCGGTCACCCAACCAATTGACAACTGTCACCCAGTAACCCAACAACTTGACAACCATTGTCCAGTCACCCAATCACTTCACAACTATTGCACGGTCAACCACCCCCTTGACAACCATTGCCTGATCACCCACCCACTTGACAACCCTCATTCAGTAACTCAACAACTTAAAAACCATCCCTTAGTCATGCAACCACTTGACAACCGTCACCTAACAACTTGACAACCTTCATCCGATAACTTGACAACCATTGTTAGGGTGACCCACCATAAATAAATATCTCCAAATATCTTGACAATTACGCCACAATATTTGTATATATACCAGGCCTTAAATCAGTTTCACACAATTATAGTCACTAAATAAACGATCATGTTGTAATTAATAAGCTATGGCCATTTAATCAACTATAAATAATAGACTGAAACTGGTTCCAAGTGTTGTCCATAACATCCAGACACTTTTGAGTAAAAGATAGGTTACGTGCCCTTGTTTTGAAATTAGTCTCGCTTAACCAGTGTACTGACCATTCTACGTCTGATTGACAGGTCAGGATAATCAAGACTACCTTTTTACGAAACATAACAGAAAGCTGGAACAAGAAATTGAATTTAGAAAAACGCACATTAGCCAACTCAACAATTGTTTTAAGAATCTTGTAAAAGTAAAATGAAACTACTGCTAGTATCATGTTCCTGCTAACGAAAGTGATTCAGAGATATTATTTGTACTAAACCAAAAGATGCCGCTTTTAACGGTACAGTTAATGATAAAGCAATTTAAAAAATACAACGAACGTAATTTCTAAAGCTGCTGTAATAACCAAGAAGCTAAATTTTACGGCTATTCAAAATCGTCAACAATAGATTTTTTACGTCTGTAATAGTTGATAGATTTGTAGAGAATTGCACGTGCCATGGCTATTTATAGTATCATACACTCCACCGCTGATAGTTCGAGATCCAACCACTGAAGCGTGCACATTAGCCGTGTCGAGACCAACTTTCTGTAGTGTGCACGGGTCACCCTACTATTGTCCAATCACCCAACCACTTGACAACCTTTGTCCAGTCATCCCCCAACCACCTGAAAACCGTCGCCCAGTCACCTAACCACCATAACTACCATCACGTCTCTTGATAAATAATACAACTTACAATGACATCTCAAGATCAGGCTGGACAAAAAAGACTACCATAGATGTGAATAACATGACTATTCCAACTTTTTTAATATCTGTGTCAATGCCAGGTTGTGGGTGAAACTGTGTAAACACGAGAACCAGCAACCCTCCGACTAACAACCATAAACCTAAAATAATAAAACATAGGTGATAAACAATCAACAACCATAAACCTGAAATAGTAAACCACTGGTGATCAACAACCATAAACCTGTAATAATAAACCATGGGAGATAACCAACAACCTGTAATAATAAACTATAGGTGATAAACAACCATAAACCTGTAATAATAAACCATAGGTGATGAACAACCAATACACACTGGTTACATCTATATGATCTACAATAGCAAGAAATAAGTAATTATAAACTGACTTTTCGTTTCTACAATAGTTTTGCTGTTTGCCATAGTTGATTTCAAACACTGGTAATAACCTACCTATTAGCAGTACTGGGGGTGGTTGTTGTTGCCATAATAAACAAGCTTGAAATTCTACCTCAATTAGACGAAGAATTATTGTGTTTCCAAGTCTCAACCAATCAAACTGCTTATCACTTTGTTTACCCTAAGCAGAAAATGCTCATAATCGAACTTAGTCAAGGTATTGATGTAATGAAACTATACACCAAGTTTCATCACTCTCACTTAATTAGAACTAAAGTTATTATGTCCCAAAGCATCAACCTAAGCAGAAAATGCCCATCTTCGAAGTCCATCAAGGAATTCACCTAATAAACACCTACACCAAGTTTGAAGATTCTAGCTCAATTACAAAGAGAGTTATTGCGTCCCAAAAAGTGTGATGGACAGTACCCATTTTAACAGCCCCCTGCTTTCTATGAAAGGCAAGGGACAATGACGTACCTATTATCAGTACTGGAGGTGGTTGTTGTTGCCATAATAAATAACCTATTGTAGTTAAAACAGGTTTTCCATTAACAGCCAGTGATAAAAGCAACAAACATAAACCAGATAACGTCTGAAAAATACGACAAATAAAAACATTTTATTATAAATACAGACCAGACAACTTCTGAAAACAAAACCATTTTAAACATACATTATGCAAGAGATAAATCTGCCTTTAGGTCTAAAATGTTATACAAATTATTAATCAGACATTTATTAACATGAAAAGACCTTAATCAACTCTTGATGCCGTCTTATGTGTCTGATTTCCATTGGATGACTGAATGATACAACGCGCACACACTAACCAATTGACCATCCACTCTCGTTATTGTCTACATTATGTTAATGATGGAAATATTTCCTGCACAGCAGCCTTACACCCTCATTTTATTTTGATTTTCAAACGTCAAACAATCATTAACATGCTTCCAGTGGGAAGAATAGAAACTTTTTATTGGAAGGCCCTCCTATTTACTGCAATGGCCTCTTTCATCCTGCACCACTGACAAAGTCCTCGTCTACCCTGCATGCACCAACAACAGGGCCCTCCTCTGTCCTACACCACTGACAAGGCCCTCATCCATCCTGCACCACTGACAAGGCTCTCCTCCATCCTGCACCATTGACAGGGCCCTCCTCCGTCCTGCACCACCGACAGGGCCCTCCTCCGTCCTGCACCACTGGCAAGGCTCTACTCCATCCTGCACCACTGACAAGGCTCACCTCCGTCCTGCACCATTGACAAGGGGAGACTGACAATCAATACTAACCTGTGTTTGTGTTATGTCGATTCTTTGATCAAATATAAACATCTTTAATATCATATACACCAGACTATATAAGAGTATACAGGATATTAGAGTTATCTCCTCTTGATGTGGCACCACTTGGTTTAATACACCAGTAAATACCTTGGTTACATGGATACTAGCACCAAATAAAGCTGACCATTGGGACAGCTTATCAGCAGTATATAGCCTTAAATAAAAAAAAGAAAAAGAGATTTAACGTTCACACAAGACAGACCAAAATATGGTAAATTCTATTTCAATAATTCGCTTATGTGTTGGGAGGAAACCAGAGGACCCAGAGAAAACCCACAAGGTTTGACAAGAGATTCTACTCCTTGTCACGAAAAAGCGGGGAGCCAAAACCTGGAGAAAATTTCTTGTCACGTATAAGTGGCGAGTTGAAACCACTTCATTTGATTCACTGACGGACCAGATGATCTAAAGTCTCATCAATGTTAAAAGAGAGAGAGATATTAAAAAAGAGACAGAGAGAGAGAGAGAGAAATGAAATGAAATGGGGTTTAACGTCCTACTCTTCTGCACCTAACCTGGGATAATTGAAGACGGAGAGAGAGAGAGAGAGAGAGAGAGAGAGAGAGAGAGATTGGGTTTAACCTCCACTCAACACAAACTAGGTCATTTCGGGACAAACATATGGTTCAATGTTATTTAAATAGTTCGCTTGTGCGTATAGGTCTTTAGCAGTGGAAGGAAACCGGAGAAAACCCATGAGGTTGTCTCAAGGTTAAAATTGGAAAGAATTGGGGTGTAATAGAACATCTTGTCCAAAAAATATTTTGGTCAATCTGGGACAAACGTATAGTTTTTATTTATATGGTTACGTTTATAATGCGTGACAAGAGAATTTTGCCAAAACAGCAGAGTTACGATTTGCAACTGTTATCGGCTCTTCTATGTGTACACGGGGTGAACTTTGGTTGTTTGTCTCATCTCAACGAACGGACACACATACACATTCCATGACAATGAGGTTTAATGTCCTACTTTTCTGGACAGACTGGGCTAATGAAGACGGGAATACACCAAAGTGTGTGCTATGATGGCAATTTTGCCAGGACTACTCTTATTTCGAAATCCAACTGTCAAGGGTTCTTTGACGAACACGCAAATGTGTACACGGGACTTGGTTTTTGAACCATCCAAATAACTATATGACTCTCTTGGTTAGCGAGAGGCACCAGCAATTCTTTGGAATAAGTGTAAAAATAAAGAGCATCTATACCTGTTACTGTAATTACAGGTGAATTGTTTTATGATTGGTTACCTGAGTGTACGTACCTGTGTAACATATAAACAGCAGCTATACCTGTCGCTCTTATTACAGGTAAACTAGTTAACTCAGATTTTTGTAAACATACTTCACACACCATTAACACTAAAATATCATAAAAACTCATTCTTAAATAAGATAAACTTTGGCCTGGGTAGAAATTCTTCTATGTATTAAATCTACATTGATGGAATACCATCAACTTGGATTCTCTATTCTATATCAAGTAAATGTTATGTTTCAACTCAGATTCTTTATCAGAGTAATGAAGGAGTACACTGTTGGACCGAAGGTATTGTATTTTGGATAAAAACAGGTGATGAAAGTCAGTTCCAAAATGGGCGGTTCAAAGATGTTCCTTTCTCTCATCACATTGAGTAGATTTATATCTAGAGGTTTATTAGATAATTACTACATTATGTTGATTTATATCTGGAGGTTTATTAGATAATTACTACGTTATGTTGATTTATATCTGGAGGTTTATTAGATAATTACTACATTATGTTGATTTATATCTGGAGGTTTATTAGATAATTACTACATTATTTCTGGAAGTTTATTAACTATTTGATAATTACTAAATTATGAATTAAATCAGTTTTCAATCTTAACAAGGACAGCTCTACAACATGCAGCAAAAAAATCCATCATTAAAACTTACAAAAGGGAACTAACTCTGCTTAATTGTCATTAAAGTCATATTATCTCCCCATAGACCACAAACGCCATTAAGAAATTGAATATACACAGGACTAATCACCAAGTGACTTTTGCTTGATAAATAGAGAGAGTAATGGGGTTTAAAGTCCACTCGACACAAACTAGGTCATTTCGGGACTAACATACGGTTCAATTGTATTTCAATAATTCACTCTTTTAGCGGTGGGAGGAAACCGGAGGACCCAGAGAAAACCCATGAGGTTGGACAGGCGACCCTACTCCTTGTCAAGTACAAACGGGGAATCGAAAGCACGCCAGTTGACTGACTCAATGACAGACCTTATGATACAGCGCGCATGCGTAACCATTCAGCCATCCAACCCCAAACTCAGAAAGAAACAGTGATGGTATAGAAACTTACCTAGAGATTCCACAGAGACTAGGAGACCTAATAATTCTTTACTACCATATACAGCCACGTACATACACAATAAACATAGTATATAATTCACCAGCATTAATAAATAAAATACATCTATTGGTATATACTCGAGAAAATTATATCTAATTTACAAGTCAAGAAAATAAAACTTTTCGTTAAGAGAGATACAGAGAAAGGGAGTTTAACATCCACTCAACACAAACTAGGTCACATTGGGACTAACATATAATTTCAATAAGTTGCTTGTGGGAGGAAACTGGAGGACCAGGAGAAAACCTAAAACCTACTCCTTGTCACGTACAAGCTTGGGATCAAAACCATGTCACCCGACTCAATGACAGACCTTAAGATCTAAAGCTACCCAAGTTAAACAATAGATGCCATATACCCTGTGACGTAGGAATCTTGTTTCAGCCATATTGACAAGTGAAAAATGACCACCTCAAAGTGCTTCATTTGCATTTTTCACGGCTTAATGCATTTGTCAGAATGGAATTAAAGCATTTTTGATGTGAAAGATTTTATCAGTATTATTTGTTGGATTGGTTGTTGTTTAATATTACTGTGGTTTAACAAGGATACTGTAGTTGCCATGGTAACGTTGAAATCCAGTACACCAGTAAAACTGTTAGCGCTGTCATTAATGCCATAGCTATACCCTGAAATAAATGAATTAAAAATATGAATGAAATGAATGCTGGAAATATCTTAATACAAACAGCAATCTTACCATGTGATTTTATCAAATTCCAACTGTCAAAGGTTCTTTTATGTGTTGTCTATAGGCGCTTTTTTCTTGCAGGCATTGCTATCCAGCATTGAACCGAGGTCATGTGTACACATTGGCGTGCATGTAAAAGATCTCTTGACTGCACACTGTATGGCGTAAGTCAGAGCAGAACAGTAGAATATTAAACCCCATTTCATTTCAATTCATAAATCTACACTTAATATAATCCTAATGCTCGGTTCTCACTATCAAGATTCCCGCTACGATTGAAATCGTGGTTTTAATCATGGAGTAATCATGGTAAGACAATCAGATCTTATCATATATTAGATATTGAGCTCAGTCGTAGCAATCATGTTGATCGTATCGAAATGTATCCGAAAGTATATGCACGTACCAGATCGTGGACTCAATAGGGACAATTATCCCATCATAACACATCACACCACAGTGGGAGAGAGAGAGGGAGAGAGAGAGTGAAAGAGAGAGAGAGAGAGAGAGAGAGAGATGGGGTTTAACGTCCACTCGACACAAACTAGGTCATTTTGGGACTAACATATGGTTCAATTTTATTTCCATAATTTGCTTGCACGTAGGGGTCTTTAGCAGTGGGAGGAAACCGGAGGACCCGGAGAAAACCCACAAGGTTGAACAGGCGACCCTACTCCTTGTCATGTACAACCGTTGATTCGAAACCTCGCCAGTTGACTCAATGACAGACTTTATGATACAGCGCGCACATGCTAACCATTCGGCCATCCAGCCCCCCCCACACGACAGTGGGAACCTAGCATCATGATAGTGAGGAATGGAGTGTATAATTTATATTTCACTTGCCTTATATTTCTTCATGGATAAAACAATGCCTAGGATGCTAAAACCAACAATAGCCACAGGCAACCAGGCTAAAAAATGTGACACTAAACCAAAGGCTTGAAGGACTGGATAACAAAGCAATGAAGCCGCAGTTCCTCCAGCATATCGAACTTTGATCACTAAACTAAACGGAATTCCTGAAATTAGTGAAATAAAAGAGACATTATGTAAATATTAACTCTAGGTAGGTCATCGCTGGACGGTTGGAGGGAGAGTGAAATGGGGTTTGGCATCCAATTGACACAAAGTAGGTCATTTTGGGAGGAAATGAAATGAAATGGGGTTTAACATCCTACTGTCATGCTCCGAACTGGGTTAATGAAGACGGGCATACGCCATACAGTGTTCTATGAGGGAAATTTTGCCCGTACAGCGGCACTATGGCCTACTCCTATATCGAATTCCACTTGCAAGGGATATTTTACGTGCACACCAATGTGTACATAGGACCGCAGGGTTTCGTCCCATCCAAACGAACAGACAGCTGTCCTTTTCGGGCCATTTTGGGAGGAAATCAAAGTACCCGGAGAAAAACCCACAAGGCTTGGCAAACAAGGTTGGGATTACCCTACTTGAGTCAATGACAAAATTTATGATCTAAAGCACACACATTAGCCCTTTAGGAGACTCAACTACACCAGATGTTTACAAAATAATTTCAGATATTGCTTGCAATCTCCATTTTTGACTAGGAATAATATGACTGAAATGTATTTTCCGACTGCATATGATGACAAAATCAAATCAAATGGGGGTTCAACTTTTCTCCACAAACCAATAAGGGAAATTTTTGCCTGGACAACTGCCGACGAGACATGAATAAATAGACGTTATTCCTTGCCGGACTGTTCTTCAAATATAGCTCTGTATGAGTTTCAAATTTGAGTAATTCTGGAGATAAGTAACAAATCGTTAATGGCCCCTGTGCCCAGAACCAAAACTATTAGATAAACGTAAAAAAAACAACAATTTGATAATTACCTAAATATTCCATAATTTGTCTGATGCTGAGTAACGTTACTAGAAACAGACTTAAAGATATGAGAAATATTAATTCTGTCTGAAATAGAAAATAATACAACAATGATGTATATTACACATTATAAACACAAAGAATAAACAGTCAGAGCAGAACAGTAGAATGTTAAATGCCATTTCATTCCATTGCTTTGTTAGAAATGCTGGGAACAAACTTACCATAGATTTCGAGGTAAATAAACTGTGTGTTGACGGAGCTAATAGAGCGAAGAGAATATGAACTACTGATGGACAGAGTAGTAATATTAATATCATGACGACAACGATTGGTTGTTGGATTACATTCATATCTTCATCGACGTCTGGTTTTAATTTAAACGATGAGATGACAGGTGATAGAAATACCTGTAACATCATAAACCTGTAATTATAAATATATATATATTATAATATACCCAGGAAGCTGTGGGGCTCAGTGAGTACGCAGACCCGTGCGCGATCCCAGTTTTGACAGAGAAAGTTTATCTGGATTTTCCGAGGTGGTTTCCCACTTGTCAGTGGTGTTGGAAAGAGGGTCTGACAAGGAAACGCGATAAGTCGTTCTGATGGGATGAAAAACCGAGGTCCTGTGTACACTTTGGCGTGCACGTAAAAGATTCTTTGGCAGTTGGAGTTTGATATAAGAGTAAGCCGTAGTGCCACTACGGGAAAAATTTCCCCCGAAGCACACGGTATGGCGTATACCCATCTTCATTAGCCCAGTCGGAGCAAACCGGTAGGACATTAAACCCCATTTCATTATCATTGTTAGAATAAATATTTATATAAGAAGTCTTCGGCAGTTGGAGTTTGATATAAGAATATGCCATAGTGGCACTGTGGCCAAAATTTCCCTCATAGCACACTGTATGGTGTATACCCGTTTTCATTAGCCCAGTTGGAGCAGAACAGTGAGAGAGAGAGAGAGAGAGAGAGAGAAAGAGAGAGAGACAGACAGACAGACACTAACAGATGGTTCAATAATATTTCAATAATTCGCTTGCAGGTAGGGGTCTTTAGCAGTGAGAGGAAACAGAAAGACCCTAAGAAAACCCATGACCCCTTGCCTCATACAACCGGGGAATCAAGACCACGCCAGTTGACTCAATGACAGATCTTATGATACAACACGCACGCGCCAACCATTCGGTCATCCAAACCCCCAGAACAGTAGGACATTAAACCTCATTTTATTTATTTACAACTTACCCTAACAGTAGAGCTATAAGAGGTATAACTGATAATGGCACCACCGTGGTTAAAACCCAACATGTTAAAAACACACTGAAAGCAGGGTATGCTGTAAATAACATCTGTTCTACCACCTGCAATAAATATACACCGATATAAATAAATAGCCTATACAGTAGACTTCGCATATAACGGACACCTCTGGATAGAAAGAAATTGTCCGTTATAAACAATAAACGGTGTCCGTTATACAAAAAATCTGCTATCGAGCCTGAATTAGCGACCAGAAGGTAACACCATCCCATGAAATAACAACATTTATCATATGCAGAATCTACAGAACATACATGTATTTACATAAAAGTCATGTATGTATTCACATATTATGGATGTTCAAAATAAACGAGCTTATTTGAAAAAGTCTGTAATGCAGGTCTGCTTGAATCCGCCAGAAACACGAAGAGCATCATCGAACTTGGCTGCCGCATCCAGTAGGTCGTGGATATTTTCTGGGAAAAGTATTCCGGTCACCGATAATAAAATCCGTAATATCATCATTTTGTTCTGCTTATTCGAGAGTTTGTTATAAAAATAGACTTTAACATTGATTTGTCGAATAGGGACCGATGGAAATCGTCTGTTATAAACAATTGTCCGTTATACAGTCGCTGCTTTAAAAGACTTTGAAAATAAGAAATTTCTATCACAAAAATTGGTACCAAACTGTTGTGTCTGTTATAAGCGATTGTCCGTTGTATGCGCGTCCGTTATATGCGGAGTCTACTTTAGTTTAATAGCACCCTTGGTACACGAGTCGTGTACCATAATGCATTTCAGCGGCATTTGTAATAAGGTATTTGAAGAACGACGATAGACATATTCCACAAGTCACGTCAAACGGTGATCCCATATTCTTATCTGAAGAGCATGCACAATAAATACTATCAGGGTAGACTGGAATAACCAGATGCTAGAGATTGCCCTTTAATTGAGAGAGAGAAAGAAATGGACCCGGAGAAAACCCAATGACAGACAATGCGCACACACTAACATTTCAGCCATACAAACCCCCCCCCCCATCACCTGACAGAAGACTGGTCATTCTAAACTACTAACCAAACAAAAGACTGGTCATTCTCAACTACTTACCAGACAAAAGACTGGTCATTCTGAACTACTAACTTGACAAAAGACTGGTCATTCTAAACTACTAACCAGACAAAAGACTGGTCATTCTAAACTACTTACCGGACAAAAGACTGGTCATTCTGAACTACTAACCTGACAAAAGACTGGTCGTTCTGAACTACTAACCTGACAAAAGACTGGTCATTCTAAACTACTAACCTGACAAAAGACGGGTTCTTCCTTTCTAAAAGATACAAACTGTAGTAAAATCCAGGCGGCTGTGAACAGTAAACCGCCATTGATAGCCAATATCAAGAAAAAATTCCATAAAGATAACCTGAAATGTAAACAAGAGATTGACTTTTATGTCCTACTCCTCTGCTCCAGCCAAGCTAATAAAGACTGGCGTATACCATCAGCCAATCTGATTAAAACACAGATTCTGTTTTGTTTTGTTTTTCATAGTTCAGAATTTCGTGTTACTTGTCTGTACTACACTGGAAGAGTTGTTATATAACCGGCGTTCTGGATGATGTGAGGGATTAGCCAATGAAATGGTCTGTTGCAGAGAGTGCTTAGGGTGCGATGCATGGAACTGTGGGTATCCTACTAGAAACATCAACGCTGACTGGTTAATCAAATGTCTAACATCATAGGTCAAAAGCCGATTGTATGGCCCCCGACATGACCTCCCACTACAACTGGTCAGATCTTCATTTAGTGTAGGCCATCGAAATATAGATCTGTATTTTAATCAGACTGCCTCAGTCGACAAATCCCCCTTTTCACTTGGTTGTCACTATTTTAGGGATTGAGAGAATTGTAGCACTATGGCCCTTTAGACAATTTTGGCTCTTTATAAAATTGTCTCTTCAATTTGGTCTTTAAAGTCAAATTATAAGTACTGAATGAACGTGGTTATAGTTGTTCGTAAAAAACAGTGATGTTTTAGTTAAATTATAATCATTGTCAAAATAGTCATCAAATTCTAGCTGTTTATTGACCTATGGTTGGTTGACCAAAAATAGGTAATGTTGCCTGTCTTGTTTGTGGGAAATATAGAGTTTTGTTCCTTATATGGCGTGGAAATTCACGTCAAGGTTATTAAAGACCTGGGAAAGTAGGGGGTATAAATTAGGGTGTAGAGGAGAGCTAGATTAGAGCTCACCCAGAAATTCTTACCAGTCATTATATATTTGAGAACGAGGAACCTGCGAAGTTATTTCCAGTTTACTAATAAAGCTGTGAAATCATTGTTGCTGTAGTATTATTTACGATCACAAGGAACACAACAAATAAAGAAGTCCGGTAATACTACAGAATTCAATTCTGGCAATTTCGGCTTTTGCAACTTCGTGGGTTTTCTCCGGATTCTTCCCACTGCTAAAGACACTTACACTTAAAGATACATGATGGGAGATTAGATCAAGAGTTGACATTTCTCACCAGGGGCGCCGGAACCCGGGTACCAGGGTATACAAATGGTACCCTGCCCTTTTTTGGGGGTCTACATGTATACCAATGCCCTAATGATGAAAGTTTTCAACCTTTTTACTAGTCTATTTATTTTTAAATGATAGATATGTAATTGCTCTCTGGTTGGCCGCGAACTGGCTCTCTCACTTTCATTATTAGCTATCAGTGCATGCCTTGGCCAGATGTGATTTAGTGATTTAGTGATAGTAGTTTGTGTTTATAGTTAATAGAGAGAGAGAGAGAAATGGGGTTTAACGTCCACTTGACACAAACTAGGTCATTTCGGGACTAACATATGGTTTAATTTTATTTCAATAATTCGCTTACGCATAGGGGTCTTTAGCAGTGGGAGGAAACCGGAGGACCCGGAGAAAACCCACGAGGTTGGACAGGCGCCCCTACTCCTTGTCACGTACAACCGGGGATTCGAAACCACGCCAGTCGACTCAATGACAGACTTTATAATACAGCGCGCACGCTAACCATTCAGCCATCGAACCCCCCTATAGTTAATAGCCTTTTCAATATGGTGAATATTCCACTAAGTAAAATATAACTCACCACATAAGAGGGATAACTGTAATTAACAGATATATATGACATGGTATAAACATCATCGCAAATATTATCACACATCTACAATACAAAACAAACAAATCATCAAATTTCTTTTAATTATTTACTTTGAATGGCATTGAAACATAATCAAATAAATCACTTTTATAGAATAACAATTACTATGGTTTATTTCACTGCAAAGTTTCAACAAGATTTCACAAGCCGTTATCAAGCATATATAACACAAATAGATCTTCGTGAAATCTTGTTGAAACGTGAAATAAACCATAGCAATTGTTATTCCATAAAAGTGTGTTATTTGGTTTCTTTTAACTAACCTTTTCAAATTTCCAATCATTTGAACATCTTAACTTAGAAATGGTAGCAGTAAGTTGGTCACCATATTGACTTCTAGCAAAATCTGTATCTTACGCAATGAGCCACTGTTGCATAATCTATCAATGGTTCTACCACTGATGTCTTTCGTCTTGCTCCAGCCACAATAGTGGATCATTTTAAGGAGCAAGTTTTGTAGTCATTTGACTACAAAAAAGTTACTGGCCTATAACTCACTTAATTTCCAATTACACTAAACCCAAACTGTACTGTACATAGCTTAACATATAAAAAACCAATTTCCATTGAAATAAAGGTGAACCTTATCGTATAATTATATAATTTGATTAAACCCAAATGCTATGAAAAATTTCTATTCATTTTAAAATGGCGGCTGAAACAGAATTGCGTGATTTCACGGCACTTGAAAATACAGAAAAGCTGTTAAGAATAAGATTTTAGTGTTCCACTCTTTTGTAATACTTTTAGTAGAATTTTTGCTCGAGAAACAACATATTCGCATAATATGTGATATGTACTTAGAATACTTGAATCAACTTAGGGTTTAAATGACATATTGTGATATAAAAACACTTGTAGAGCCATAACATAACTGGTTCTATGTCAACAACATGTTAACAGATATCTCATGAGAATATTCTTCAGTAAAATTCCATTCCACCATATAAGGGTGGGTTATCGACGTCATTGGGCTCAATTAACCAATCTCTATAATTATTTACATCATATTTGACCAATTGGATAATTGAATGTCCAAAACCAGTAGATACAAAATTAGGATACTGGTGAGAATTCGCCAGACTTGCATTAGATTCCAGAGATCGAGGGTACATCTGAGTTCCTAGACAGCCGAAAGGCTGGATAGGGTGGAGAAGTGGTTTTAGCTATATAGTATTGTAATTTGTGCTATGCTTGTATACCTGTATTCAGTTATATGCTATATAAAATGTAGAAGCGAACTATGCATTATTATTCCTGGTAAGACAAACGTCTTAAGAAACTGGAAGAAGTAAATACACAACGTGAAGCAGAAGTAAAGACAGCTAGAGACAAATTCTAGACGATCACAAGGCTACAGAAATATGTAGTAAGAAAAGATGCATGGGTTCTACGTAGGATGTGGCGACCGGTTTCCCATAGACGCTCTCCACGTCAGACAGAAAGACTCATGGTGCTACATATTCACTATTTGTAACATAATTTAAATAATTACTTATTTCCATGCAAACTGTGATGATATGTGTTAAAAATTTGCCGCTGAACTTAATTTTACTTGCGCAAAGCCTTGAATAGTGTATCAATTGTAGCCGCGGATAAGACAGGACACAGGTACAAATATTGTAGCTAACCTTAATCCAGTCGACAAATTAAAATATAAATTTAAAAAAAATTGAAGATGAATGTTCGCCTATAGAAATGGATGGACAAGTGGGAGTAGCACTAAGGCCATATTTACTACTCACTTTCTTTTTTCTCCTTCGTGATCCAGTAGAAGAATACATGCCGTACCCAATGTCGTGATAATCAACAACCTGGAATATAATATAAACAAGGGTGATAACTCTAGAATACATGCTGTACCTAGTGAAATCTATACTAATATTTGTGACTGTCATCAGTCTGTTTGTCTATTCATGGTTGGCAGCTATACAAGGGCTGTTCAGAAATAAATGAAATGAAATGGGGTTTAACGTCCTACTGTTCTGCTCCAAACTGGGCTGATGAAGAGGGGCATATGCCATACAGTGTGCTATGAGGTAACTTTTGCCCGGGCAGCGGCGCTACAGCCTACTCTTATATCGAATTTCAACTGCCAAGGGATCTTTTACGTGCACGCCAATGTGTACAGGGGTCCTCGAAAAATCTTTTCGTCTTCGACTGAATTATCAGTGAGCAGAAATTCAGCCGTGTATCTGTTATTGCTGTCCCGGAGCTTAAATTTGGTGTATAGGGGCAGCTCAGACCTGGGAGTAACATAGGCCTGGTCGCGATGGACTACCACTTTTGGTTTCAGAGTTATGCAGCTTCCAGTTCATGGCAATACCCGTGCTACAATATAAACAAGAGCTAGAACGATTCAAGTTATATTTATCTTGTTTACTCAGGAACATATTATGCAATTTATCTCAATTAGTCTTTTGCATAATTGTTTTAATTAATATTTCAAAACATTGTGTATCATAAAGTGTAAAGAGATCTTTTAGTAAACATTATATATGTCCATTTCATTCCATGGTGGTTTCCCCCTTGTCACTGGGACAGGACGGAGGGCCTGACAAGGGCAACTGTTTAGTCATTTGGATGGGACAAAAAACATGAGGTCCAATGTATACATTGGCGTGCACAAAAAAGATCCCTTGGCAGTTAGAATTCGATATAAGAGTAGGCCATAGTGCCGCTGCCCGGGCAAAATTTCTTTGCCCGTCTTCATTAGCCAAGTCAGATCAGAACAGTAGGATGTTAAACTCCATTTCATTTCATTTATATCAGATTTTTGTCAAAATAAACAAGTTTTGTAAATACCAAAAGCCAGGTTATAAAGATATAAATCAAAGTTTTAAAAATATATTTTATTTATTATTTTTCTAAGATAATGTGTGAAAAGAATAAAATTGTTTGGAAATACAGAAAGGTCTGAAACATGATTTCTAAGTCTGTGATATATTCAGAAAGCCTGTTGGGATGTATTGACTGTGAGATATTCAGAATGAATAAACTTGTAATACACACTAGTCTGATGTATATTGATAGACTATTACAATTAACACTGTTAAATATTGTATATTACAATTAATACTGTTAAATATTGTATATTACAATTCAAATATTGTATATAATGTATATTAGCAAACTGTTTTATATGTATATTAGATTAAATGTATTAATTTGTGGAATATATTAAAAATGTTCCTATTTATTATGGTTTGATAATCTTTAAATGGCATTTAGTCACTGGATAGAAAACAACAAAAACACATGTTTATTGAAAACAGCTACTAGTGTTAATTGATTTTTTTCTAAGTCCAATATCTTGTGGAACTCTTGTGGTAAAAAAAACCCTCATAACCGAAACCATACATGACAACGTTATCAAGCTAATACAGTAATACAGATACGAGGCAAAATACAACAACATAACCGAAACCTTACATGACAACGACAAGATCAGAGGCCATTTGTTGTTGTCATGTATGGTTTCAGTTATGTTGTTGTATTTTTTCTATACATATTTTCCTCATATCTGTATTACTGTATTAAGTCGCCTTAAAATACACTAGTAGCTGTTTTCCATAAGTATGTGTAATTTGTGAGCATTTCACACTAATTGGGAACCACTGAGCATTTCACACTAATTGAGAACATTGTGGCTCATTGAATAAGCCACCGGCTCACTAACCAAGAGGACCTCAGTTCATTCTCAATGTTTGCCGAGAAACATCCTCTAGATTTGAAGAACGGAGTGCCTAGTAAAGAACAGCATCGAGTCACACAGGTGGCACAAAAAAAAACAGAGTTCCTGTGACGAAGAGTGGGCCAAAGCTCTTATGTCCAATAGCATTGTGTATGCCCGATTTAATTAGCCCTGTATGTGTAGAACAGTAGGTCGGAGGAAACTGGAGGACCCGGAGAAAACCCATGAGGTTGGAGAGGCAGTCCTATTCCTTGTCACGTACAACTGGAGAATCGAAACCACGCCAGCTGACTCAATGACAGACCGTATGATACAACCCACACGCAACAGTAGGACGGACTGGGACAGCATTTGATTTTATTTTCACACAAAATAAACCAATAAATAAATATAGTCAAAGTTCTAACTCACATTTCCCCTCCTAAAGCTAATAAAAGTAGAATACATGGCAACGCAGCCACGGCAACACGTTTATTATATCGGAAAACTCCTGGATCAACTAATTCCTGAGGATCAACCTTTTCTTCATCTGAATAATCTGGAATAACAGTTTCATTTGGGCCATAATCAGAACTGGCATCGCTTTCATTGTCTGAAGGTGTTTCGACTGTCTGGATGCCAAATTTAAATGATGCTCCTCCATCACTGTCGAGATCATTTGAGTCGTAAGTTGAGACACCCACACCTAACCTCAGATGCAGTTCATGCTCCATATTTGATTATCTGTAAACATGTAAAGAATAATTTTAAATAATTCATCAGAAGAGAGAGAGAGAGAGAGAGAGAGAGTGAGTTTAACTTCAACTCACACAAACCAGGTGATTTCAAAACTAACATATCATATTGTTCAGTTTTATTTCATTAATCTCCTTGTGTGTAGGGGTCTTTAGCAGTGGAAGGATACCAGAGGACCCAGAGAAAACTAACGAGGTTGGACAGAGGGCCTCGAAGAAAACCCACGAGGTTGGACAGATGACCCTACTCTTTGTCACTTTTAAGCAGGAAATCGAAATCATGCCACTTGACTCATAACAGACCTTGTGATTTCCACTAGAGCGCCCACCCCCTTCTTTCTAGGGTAGGGTAACTTTAATGCAATTAATAAATGAATTTAGTTCCATAAATTGTTTCAATAGTTATAGCAGTAAAAGTATATGGTAACTATGGTAACTAGATAATGCAGAATGAGAGTTGAATTAAAGAAGCTCGGGATCGCAAGCGGAGAACGTGAGATGGGTCTCTTTGAGTACCGGTACCACATCTTCAATAGAAGGCTTGATCTCGCTTTAACTACGTACATCTTATCAAGGCCTTCATGTTATACCCTGAATTTTTTGGCCCAACTTGTGAGCCTATCAGATTCCTCGATCGTCGCCAATACCAAGTCTTGCACTTTCAAGCTAAAATGTCTATCTGTGATAATCGAGTTACAAAGTTCAAGGTTCATTCAATGTCAAGGTTTCCGTGGAGGTCGCGAAGTCACAACCTCTGATTGAATGCTACTGCTCACGTGTCTGCAGATAACATACATTGTAGGTATAAGTTTGAGAATTTTGAAGTAAGCAAGCAACGTCCAGATGTTGTAAAAGTCACAGTCGTTGCTTCAGGAACATTTGAGTACCACTACTCTTGTGAGAAAATATATGCCTTAAAATGCATCAATGCTAGGCCACACTCATTCTTATTAAGTGGGTAAGACGCTGGCTTGTTAGTCTGGAGGTCGGGTCTTCGATCCCTGCATTGGCCGAGAAAGTTCATTCAGATTTTCCGGCATGGTTTCCCCTTGTCAGTGATGCAGGAGGGCCTGACAAGGACAGCTGTCTAGTCATTAGGATGGGACGAAAAACCGAAGTCCTGTGTACACATTGGCGTGCACATAAAAGATCCCTTGGTAGTTGGAATTCGATATAAGAGTAGGCCGTAGCGCCTCTGCCCGGGCAAAATTTCCCTCATAGCACACTGTATGGCGTATGCCCATCTTCATTAGCCCAGGTTAGGAGCAGAATAGTAGGACGTTAAACCCATTTCATTTCATTTCATTTCTTACTAGCTACGAGAACAAAGCTAAAAATGGTGTGATATACTGATGTGCTTGTTTTTAGCTACGATTGGATGCCTTTAGTTTCACCTGACAAACTTAATTTCTTTATTACTGCAAATAACATTATTAAAATTATTATTATTATGGTGTATTTATATAGCGCATCTTTCACCTAAGTGCCCAGATGCTCTTTACAAACTTAAAAAAGATACAATACATAAGAATAAAAAGTACATGTAAATAGTCAAGGGCACAAATAAGAATATATAAAAATTACTGAACCAAAATGGAAATATAAAAACATCTGACAAATAAGTTAGTTTTATACTATTAGAACTTATTACACATACGCAGCCCAGTCTACTGAAAAAACTTTCATTTATCAGCAAATATTGACAATGAAGTAAATCAAGCGTTGTTTTTATTAAAATTGATACAGACATCCATATTTACGGTGTATTACTCCTGCACAACTCTGATCATGTTAGTAACTTGTTTGGCTATTGTACATGAGGCCCACCTTTATGTGTTAAAAGATGTCAAATTTAAAATATCAGAGAAAGCAATCTACTATCGCTTCGATTTAAAAAGATGGGATTTGTATTCATGTCTTGTAGGATTTTATGCTTAATTGTAGTTGGATGTGGCAAAAATATTATAAATAACAATAATCTATCGTTGTTTTTGAAGAAAAACGTGTCAATTTTGCTTATTTGAAGCCCGATGTGATTAGCGTCGGGGGGTTTGCCAGTTGAAACTATATAGCACCATCTCATATCTCGAAACATGGAGGGTTGAGAGATGAGGTTTCTTATTTATTCATCATTCATGTCATTGTTAATAATGTATGAGTTTATGGGATTTTGTCGAATAATATAATCAAGATGGCATTTCACAATGTTTAGACAGTTAAGTGCTAATTTTCCCAAGAATTAACATTTTATATGATGAGTCAATACAAATCGTGATCGTCTTATTTATATTTTGTATGAGAAAAGTTGCGTTTTTTACAATAATCCCTTGACTAATGTCAGTAATGCGACTGTTCTGGAGACTGTAAAATTTGCCAAACTATCTGTAGGCTAAATTATTTAATCCTGTTCTTTAACTCATTGTGTAGAATATAATTACCGTTATGAATTAAGTCATACTACGATACACAATTACTTTATAAAACCCATTAACCCAGTGGCTTCTTTCACGGAACAACCTTTCTCTTTTCATGAAAACACTTCGTCCATGTTGGGAAAAGCCCTCGCAGTCAAGTCACGTGGTAAATCAAGAGGGGAAATCCGCACATGTTACTGACGTCAGAAGATGTTGGTGTGCAAGATGGCGACAGTCGGGGATAATGGAAGTTTGGACGGGGAAGACTCCTCAAAAAATGAGGGTGATGTGCTTGGAAATATGTGTAAAAAGAACGGCATAGACCATAGTTGCTTTCTTGGCGATCATTATAGAGATAGCGTGGAGGCAAGGTTTGTAAATTCTGGAAGGATGTCCCGGTTGAATGGAACATCAAAATCTCATTCTGTGTCGGCTTCATTTACAAAACCCTCCATCCCGTCGCTGAGATCTCGCAAGGAAAAACTTTGTACGGAAACATGTCGTCGAAAGCGGCGACCGTCCAAACACGAATCCTCAGAGGATAAAGAAAGGTAAGTTCAGATTTGGATTATTTATTGTTTGCATTTTGAAAGAGAACACGTGACTTTTTATGTACCAGACCGTCTGAGACCATAATAACACAGAGTAATATTGATGGACCGATACACTGCATTTCGTTATTTATCGCCCTGTCTGCATCTCTGATGTGATAGAGAAAGCATGTAGGGCTCATCCACCACAATGCTCTGCACGGTTTATAAACCCCACAAAACCAAATAAAACATCAAAGAAGTACACGCCTTGTCTGGTATTCTGTAGAATTTCGAGATAAAGAAAATTAATCTGGCCGCATACCGTAGTTTTTTTACTGTCTGTAAAGATGATTTATTTTCATCAAAATCTTTCTTGAAGTTTCTTTAAATAACCAACACTTTTAACAAGGCTTTTGATTTCTAATTTTTATAAAATATTTGTATTTTTGGACAGGTTCTAAAACCATTATTTGTAAAGCTTTGTTTGTAAAAATACAGAGATGTTTTTATTTGTCGAGAGAAAACAAACATTGAACCGTGGTTTCCTGTGATTTTGTCATTTTCTTTGTCTTCCAGTGTAAATCACTAAATCTATAAATAAATCACTTGTCAACCCAAAAAGTGTTAAAAACTCATGATTCCAATTGTTTATATGCTGTCTTTATTAATCAAGCAACAATATAAAACTGAACATCTTATTCTTAATTAAAAAAGGTGTTTTTGAATTTATGTTTTTTCTGTCGGTTTTTTTGGTTTTTTTCTCGTGTTTTTGAATTTCATTCCATGTCTTTTGTTTGTTTTTTTTTTTAAATTTGTGGTGTAAATTGCTTGTCAACTTTAAAAGGTGACAAAAACTCTGCTAATTGTTGCAGTGAATTTGAGTTTTTCTGGGTTTTAATTTGAGGGGTTTTTTGTGTGTGTTTTTGAATCTCAATCTTTGTTGGGTTTTTTTAATTTGTGGAGTAAATTGCTTGTCAACTCTAAAATAAGGTGATAAAAACTCTGCTAATTGTTGCAGTGAATTTGAGTTTTTCTGTGTTTTATAAAACTAGAGGTTTTTTTTTTTTGGTGTGTTTTTGAATCTCAATCTTTGTTGGGTTTTTTGATTTGTGATATAAATTGCTTGTCAACCCTAAAAGTTGTTAAAAACTCTGCTAATTGTTGCAACGAATTTGAGTTTTTCGGTGTTTTAATTGAGGTTTTTTTTTTGTGTATGGTTTTGAATCTCAATCTTTGTTGGGTTTTTTTAATTTGTGATGTAAATTGCTTGTCAACCCTAAAACTTGTTAAAAACTCTTCTAATTGTTGTAATGAATTTGAGGGTTTTTTTGTGTTTTAATTAGAGTTTTTTTTGTGTGTTTTTGAATTTCAATCTTTGTGGTAGTTTTTATTTTGTGGTTTAAATTGCTTGTCAATTCGAAAAGGTGTTAAAAACTCTGCTAATTGTTGCAATGGTGTCTTAATTAATTGAGCAGCAATTTACGGTATCTTAAATTTAAAAAAAAGTATTTTTGAATTTGAGGTTTTTCCTGTTTTTGAACTTGGCTTGTTTTTCCCATGTTTATTTTGTGTTTAATAATCTCATTTCTAATTTCTTTTTTTATATTTGTGTATTGCTAAATTGTTGGTCTGTTAAAAATGGATTATGTAAGATTTAGATGGCATTTCTTGCCATAAAAGTTTAAAGATACATGTAGATAATAAAAAAAAAGAAAGAAATATATTGAAAATTTCATTCAAATTACTTTATTCTAAGCGAAGAAATAAATGTTTGAAATAACAATGAATTATAATTTATACAACATTTGAAACCAGAAAAAAATACGTGCAATAGGCAGATTTAGCTTTTACATTCATCACATTGTTGTCCATATTCTAATCGTGCAAGATCTAATATCCCTGATTCACCACGAAGCAATGATTTTAGGATGTCGGTAATTACACTACATTATTAATTATTGCATTTTACACGATACGTCAGTTAGAACTTTATTTATTAAAGGGACATTATGGGAGATTAGATAAAGAGTTGATAGTTCTCGCTATATTAGTTAAAAAAAATAGATAACTTAAATAGAATATGCTGAAAGTTTCAGTCAAATTGCTCCACTATGAACCATCAGCTTTTGAAATTTAGTCTTACCTCGATCATCATTAAAAACAGAGTCTCAATTATCCGTTTTTACGTTTAATCATCTTTCACAAAATGTATTTCAATCTGCTAAATATCGCTGGCTAGTGATGGCATCGAGAGTTGATTATGGTCTGGATAAGTTAATTAATGTCTAATTAATAATTTAGATAACATTTCAGGCTTAAAGAAAGACCTGCAATAGGAAAATTTAGCTCTTGCATAATGTATGTTTAACACTGTTTTTTTAAAAGTCAAAATACTAGTTATTTTATTTTTCTGTTATTATTCATGTATCTGAATTCTGTATAACATGTCTATGTCTTGGTTGGAATGTTAAATAAAATGAAATTAATTGTTAGAATGCAAAAAAAAAAAAAGAATATTACAAAATGTTAAAAAAAAGAAGAGAGCTTTACTCCTATTTTGTATTGTAAGCAATTTAATCAGCTTTATTTTAATCAAATCCTTATATGGAATAGGGCACATTTCGTCGCTATGGTATCTAAAATAAATACCATAGCGATGGTTATTGACTTAGATTACTGTAGATATGGTTATTTATTTAGATACCAGTAGCTTTGGTTATTTAGTTTAAATTACATGTACCATGCATGTAGCTATGATTATTTAGTTTAGAATTAGATTACCATAGCTATGGTTATTTTTTTAGATACCGTAACTATGGTTATTTAGTTCAGATAATTATGCTCATTGTAAATATTGTTACTGTAGGAGGAACACCTTGAAAATTATATACGTAATAAATTGTTATCGAGAAAATTCTCAATGTATTTGCGGAAGTTACAATATTGGAATAGCCTACAGAATAATTTTGAGAGCATGTTTTATTTTTTATATACTGTATTTACTATTTAGTGATCCTATCATGGAAACTGATTTTAATCTTGTTATATATAATGATTTTCATAATTTCCTAAACCACGGTTATTAAAAAGTCACTTTCAATTTCATGGAAATATATTAAATTTAAAGCATGTCTATAAAATCTATTTTCAATTGTTTTTTTAAATTTTTTTAATTGGAAATTTATGTGTATATCAGCATGTACAAATATAATATTTATTGGTGTTATAACAAATAATCCTTTTGTAACATGTGCAAGACAACAGCATTATATTTTATGAACAGTTACTACAGGGGCAATAACTCTTTACAAACCTGAATAATTGTCAATGATCTTTTAGAGGCATTTAGTAACTGGATAGACCAATAAACTATAACACATACTTATGGAAGAACAATTACTGATTTATTTGGGCGACGTTTCGAAGAGTATTCTCTCAACGTTTTCAAGCAAGTTTTTATTCCTTTGATCTTGTTGTTGTCATGCATGGTTTCTGAATTGTTGTTTTTGCTTGTCTATATATAATTGCTCTTACACATTTGTTACTGTACTTGCTTGAAAACGTTGAGAGAATACTCTTCGAAACGTCGCCCAAATAAATCAGTAATTGTTCTTCCATAAGTATGTGTTATAGTTTAATAATTTTAAATATACCAGAAATACTATTTTAGAAATCTTAATGTCCCTTGTTTATGTCTCTAATGTCACTTACTGTAAAAGAAAGTAATGTTATTTTGGTAGACGAAAAATTTAACTTATCTAGAAAACGTTGGATATTTGTACGATTCAAGTTCAATAAGTTTGTAGAAGACCATAATATGTATGGTATATTTTAACTCCATGCAAAGACTGCACCTGGTTGCTTTAATAACAGGGGTTGGGGTTTGGGTAGCCGATTGGTTAGTGTGTGAACGTTGTATCATAAGGTCTGTCATTGAGTCAAGTGGCATGGTTGTACATGACTAGGAGTAGGGACATCTATCTAACCTAACCTCACAGGTTTTCTCTGAGTCCTCCGTTTTTCTCCCACTGCTGAAGTCTCCTCTCACTTTAATAACAATTTATTACAAACAAAAATATTTCTTTTTATCATGTTCAATTTTTTTTTGTTTTTGTTCATTACATGTACATAAATTGTATTTAAATGAATAAATTTTTCGAGATTGAATAATTGACCTAATTCACCTCTAGATTTTAATCTAGTTTGAATTTGAAGTATGTTTAAATGTGAAGTTTATGAGATAAGGTTAGAATGGTATAAATTTTAATTGTGAACATTTCAAGTTCTTCAAGTGTTGTTTGAGTCAAGTGGTGTGGTTTTAATTCCCTGGGCCCTGTTTCTCGAAATTTTAACTAAAGATAAAATCCAATTTTAGTAGATACTTCAATTTTGATTGGTGGCTAAGCACTAAAATCAATCTAATATTATCCAATCAAATTACTAAAATTTCATGAAACAGGCCCCATGTTGTATGTGACAAGGAGTAGGGTCACCTGTCCAACCTCGTGGCTAAAGACCCCTACGCACAAGCGAATTATTGAAATAAAATTGAAGCAAATGTTAGTTCCGAAATAATGTACATTGAAGAGCTCTTCCATATTTAATGTATGTCTGCAGAGTGAAATTGAGTAAAAGATCTTTGTTTATCGCAATTGAGATTTTTTTTTTTTTATAAAATAAAGGGCATGGCCTCGTTGATTTGAGTCAAGAAGAAGGTATTACATTTATTCAAACAGCAACTACGTTAAAGTCTGTTAGAGATACATTAGTTAAAAGTTTAATAAAGAGTTGATCATTCTTGCTATTTTAGTTCAAATATAGATGATAAAAAAAAAATATTGAAAATTTCATTCAAATAACTTCATTCTGAGCCAAGTTATCACTGTTTGTAGTTTTGACAAGATGTGTGCATTGTGGTAACCAGGGCACTGGTATATTCAAGACATAGCCTCATTAAAGATACATAATGTCAGAATTAGATCAAGAGCTAGCCATTCTTACTATAATAGCTCAAAAAT